TGCTAAAGCTGATGATTGGAATACACTTAATTTTTCTGCAGGTCTAGTAATATCTCCTATACCAGCAATAACTAGCGCCCACTTGAAAGTTGGAGCCCAAAAAAATATGGTTTTAGGTCCAGCTGGATGTTCCCATGTAGATCTTAAAGTATTTGGAACAAATTTATCAAGTGATTTTATAACAACATTATAAATATAAGACATAAATAGATGAAAGTCAGATGTTTTCAATTTTTTTTGATAAAATAAAAGAATATTAAAATATCGTAGATTATGTAACTGTCACACATGACAGGTGATTGATCACTTTCTATAATATGTTATATTATATTCTATTATAATAAAAAAAATTATATAATATATATACTTCATCATAATTATAATCTATCTCATGTTAAAATATAAGAACATAAAATTAAAATATGTAAAAAGAATTATTATATAAAAAATAAAATGTGTAAAAAGGATATTAAAAAAAGTTAGCCTCCTTAGTGTTGCAATTTTAGAAATAATTATATATTTTTTTTTATAATATGTCAATCATATATTTGTTTATAAAATATGATTATAATACTTAGAAAGGAAGTTCCAATGAAGCTCCCTGAATATTATTAATAAACGAGATATAAATTAAAGTGTTAATTCGATTTGTGAATGACACTTGAAACTCTTCGCCCTAAGGTAAAAATCTTCCCCGAGTTCATCAGTGATTATTGGTATAAGAGAACCGAGTTCCTTGAAGAAGGTTAAAGCATGCTATTAAATGTGGCTGATGTAGAGGAGATTAGGTATAAAAATGTGTTCACTAGATATTTCCTAATTTATAAATTTTAGATAGCTCTTTAACCCAAGTTACTTGTGCTAAGATTTGTAGGGGATAAGGGATCTATACAGAATTAGTCCGAAACTAGAAATTGATCTCTCTTCCAAGAAATTTGGATATTGTTATCTTGAGGGTTTCCATCAGATCTAAAAAGACCACTAGGTTTTAGGATCGATAGAATCTGCACAGATTTAGGGGGGAATTGAATAATGATTTACAATGATTGTCTAGGAATACGTCCTTTTCATGAACGGCAGTGCAGTATATGTCGTTCCTTCTAGTCAAAAAGAATATTATAACTAGAGCAAAGGTAAGGTTAGTAATTGAGCAATTGAGACAGATTACAATGGCATGAGTTTATTTTTGGTGAGTTGTAATTGTAGATTAACAGGAGGGATGGCCTCCAGGAACTCGTGCATAGTGACATTTTGCCGTGACGTAAAGGGAAAATCATGCTTAATAGTAGAGTTTCGACTCAGTAAAAAACAACCGGGATGTCATATTCCTTTTGCTTGCAACAGGTAAAGTGACGTCAACAAGAATTCGAAATATCCATAGATCTAATACCTCAGTGTACTACGAATCGTCTACAGAGTGAGCGGTGACAATAGGTTTTGTTAATAAGCAACATGAGATAAAAGTTATTAAATTTAAATCAGAAGGAGATCTGATGTCAAGACCGTCAAATTTTGTTCGGAGAGAAGCTTGAAACCAATCAATTTTTACGAACTTAAGATTTAGGATCTCTTCGGTATGTTCCTTGATTCCCATTTCATATACATTCAATGGACCAGGATATTAAAGAACAGGAGTAATCTTTAGAGCATAAAGAATGCGCGGTATATTATAAATGTATTTCAACAGAAAAAAATTTATGAGAGAGGAGGAAATGTATATTTACCAAAGAGTCTAAAGGGATGAAGCCTGAAAAGTGCAAACAGCTGAGTTTACTCCAACCGGAGATCCTAAGTGAATTAATTGATCTTTATTATAGATTTTAAAATTGTGGGAGTTAATTTCGGAACTTAGTTGGATAAATTCTGATTTGCTTTAATTGAGAATTAACCCTAAAGAAGAATCGATCTCTAATATTATATTGATCGCTTTACTGACCTCATTGGATGACAGATTATGCCATCATCCATGTATCAAACATATAGAGAATGAGAGAGGAGGCATTGATTGCCTTGATCATATATTGATTCCGAGACATAACAATGTGCCAAGAGAATCACCTTGTTGAATCCCTTCTATAGAAGGAATGTTATATAAATTAAATTGGTGGAGGGATATCGAAAGCCGAAATGGAAAAATTTACTATATCCAGAAAAAAGAATGCTTGAGGATTTTAAGATGGTATTGGCAAACTCGATCTTCAGATTTCATTTGAGGGACTGTTCTCTAAATGAATACTAGTTAAGCATACCGCAGCCTCACAACCACCTGTAAAACTCAGTTGAAAAGGCCTCAAGATGAGAGATGCATCATGCCTAATTCGTAAGGAAATGATTTTGGCAACAAGGCACTTTAAGGAATAGTCTATAGAAATTGACTTAATATCATTATTGGGTCTTTGCAAGGCAAGATCGTTCACCGAAAAGTATGGGAGATGCAAAATATAGAACATCTTCGGCCAAAACTTTATTGCAGAAGTTGGTAAGCATGGTTAGGATTGGAGAATGGGAGCATATAAATGGAGAGGTAATGTCCTGAAGAAATATAGAACGAATTCCATCTAGTCCATGGGCGGAATAAGATGGAATGTAAGGATAGCTTCTAACTTCTTCCTGTGTGAAATCAGTGGCGTGATATATGCTTTGAGAGTATTAAAACTATAAAAAAAATCTGATCCATTCCTTTTTCACATTTGAAATTATGCAAGTGGAAGGAAATGCGATCATAGAAAGTGCCACCAATAAATAAGCACCTTTAGGAATTCGAGTAATAACATTAGTCTTAGAGGTATCATTGAATTAGGAGGAGAAAGAAATGTTATCATAAGATGTGGGATTATGATACTGATATTATTAATAGGGTCATTGTTGACATTTAAGACTATATCATTATTTAAGAACTTACATTTGTGTGTATTATAACCACTGAAGGTGAAATGTTTATGTTGTATAATAGAAATTAATAAATTAAAATATTATATATTTTAGTTATTAAATAGTAATATGTTTAAATTTTATATAACGCGCATTCATCAAATTAATTAGGATATATTTAACTTATTCAAATTATACTTTTATTTTTAGTTTTGCTTTTCGTTTTATAACTTAACCTTTTGATTTCATATTCTAATTTTAGTTTGTAAAAAATATATAAATACAAGATTAAAAAAGTAATAAAGTGAAATTTTTTTATTTTAGAATCAAGTGTTTTTAGCGCTCTTCTTCAGTTTAAGACATTGTATGCTTTTTGAAGGTAGTTTATAAAAGTTGTATATAACTGTTTGCGGAATTACTATCATTCAAAATTTGATTTTCCAATATTGGGAACAAATCATTAAATAAAACAATCACAACAAATAATTTATGAAGAAAGATGGATTACAATTTTTGGTAAAGTTAAGAAATTTAATTACAAATTTTAATTCATTGAAATTTAAACTTAACTATATATAAATCAGAAGATTTATTTATTTTAAAACATGGAGAACTGCATTTTGAAAGGAAAAGCCAAGGACACGGGATGAGTACATGCTTAATTTTACTCATGATATTGACAAGATATTGATGAATAAATGAATAAATTATTTAAAATTCTGGAATAATCTCATTTGTTAAACCAGAATATAACAGATGATAAAATGTTTTTTTTAAGTAAAAATTTTACAAAATAATTACCCCATGTTTCAGAAGCAATGAGCTAGTCCTAGACATGGTAGGGGCACGCTAACCTTGCATTTAAAGTTAGCTCGAATTCGCTCCGAAGCCTATAAAAATTAATGTAAAATTATTTTATTTTATCATATTTTGTAAACTTTGCCGCGAATTCGCGGTAACTATGAATGAAGAGTAAAACTCTAGAAAAAATAGGTAAGGGTAAGCTAAAATTGGCATACAATAGAATGAATTTTTTTTTGAGAGAATTTGAGGAGAAATCAATTTATTTTTTTGAAAATTTTTAATATCCCCAGGTTTTACATTTTCAGGCCCGGATATAGGGTCGAGCCTGGGGTCTCTGGTTTATATCTAAGCATTTTGTTGGTATATAATCAACTAGCTGTTACTAACCGTATTCAAAAAAATTAGCCACGAGAGTTTATAAATTCAAAATGTACTAAAACGTTATCCGTGAATGAATGATTTAAAAATTAATTTATACATTAGAAATTTTTTATTATCAGTTAATTTTATCTTTAATCTACAAATCATGTATTTTTTTAACTTTCACTTACTCCCTAACCTCCATAAAAAATTGAGGCAAATTTCTCCTAACCCGCTTCCCCCCAAACCCCCAAGAAGAAGCTTGGTTCTGAGGAGTTACCAACTCCTCCCATAAGTCTACCGGTTTCTCAGGTTCCATTACATCAAAAATTATAAGTGCAGTTTTCCATAAACATATGATAAATATATTCTACCCCTTTTCCTATTGAAAATATGACAAGTACATTTTTGAAAATATTCTCCTGCTACTGTAATGTTGGAAAAAAAATGTTTGGCATTACAATCTTTAAATGACGATTAAATAATATTAATTTAAATTTAAAAAAAAATTGTATATACTAGCGTCAAGTAGCGAAGCTACATTTTTAAAATAGTATATTAGCTAGAAAATTTTTTAACAAGTAATTAGTGATTGCGTCTATGTTAGCGAAATTCAAGATGTCAGAATTAAAAAACAAAGGTTTAAATTCAAAGTTTATCATATCAAGAAACATGTGTTAAGCTGTAATAGTTTCTCAATTCAATATAACCGTGATCAGATACCTTTCCTTCTATCTCTTACTTGTGACCAATGTGTATGTAATCTCTGACATCTGTAATCACGTTATTAAATGGTTGAGGTAACTATAAATTTACACATTAATACTCCGAATTAAAAAAAAAAGTGACTAATTTATTATAAGAATATAAAACAATTTTTTATAGTTTTAATAAGGGAACCGATCTCAATTTTTTTTTCTGAGCCGGAAAATTTAAAAAAAATCAAATTATATATATGATATAGGTTATGATTGGCGAATTTTATAATAAATTTGAGTATTAAAAGAATGAATAGTATCATCATTTTCATGTTCTTTATAAATATATTTGATCTCAGCGTCTGAACATCTAGAAAGAGTCTTAAACATGCGAATGTAACTTTTATCGAAAAAGTCGCTCTTAGGATCCATATAATCGTAGATAATAGGTTGTATATCATTCTCATCATTATTTTGATGACATTTCGGTTTAATATATAACTCTAGGATAGGTTTTTCACGATTAGCCATATTTAGTTTTTGTTTGAGTGATCTAACCGCTGAAGCGAGATCTAGTATTAACCCTACGCGTGTTTCCAGGTGAGTATTCCTAATAGAAATATTTTCGAGTGGTGGCTCATAAAATTTTTTGATAATTACTTCCCCTGCTTGGTTGGTTTTAATAGATGTATCACCATATAATTGTAAATTGAGAAGGCCAGGCTCGGGATATGTCAGTAAGCCCAGTGGTAAAGTTTTTAATTGTGGATCCAAGTCATTTACGAAAGGATTTATATTAGATTTGTTGGTGTAAAACCATAAGGCTTCTGTAATGTGGGGCATAAAAGGGTGGGTTAACCTTAGACCAAGGTTAAGACATGCATGAAGTGTGAAGAGAGTTGATCGCATAGAATCTATACCTGTTTGATATGAAAATTTATGAAATGTGTTTAACAAAAAAAAAATTAAATTTTTAATAAACAAATCAATGAAATAAAGCAATACGCATGTAATATTATTACTAAGATTGATATTTTATAACCTTGATTCAAAACTATTTCTAGCCGTAACCTTAAATTTATAAAATGAACAATTTAGGAATAATTTCGAAATACCGATATAATTTTACTTACGTCATATAAAAAGTGAATATATCAGAGTTGTTAAAGTAGCGCGCTACTTAGCGCGCTAACTTTTTTGGTAGCTATAGCTAATAGCGGCTACTTTTTTTGTATATTTAATTTTTTAGCGCGCTACTTTTTTTGATTTAAAAAATATAACGAAAGTAAGTATAAAAACATGAAAATTTAAATATAATATTATAATTAATTATAATTTTTATGATTTATTATTTAATTTTGAAATTGAAATATATTTTCAATTTGTAATTTATATTTTCATTTGTATTATAAACCTAAATCACGTGTTAATAATTTAAAATGCCATCGCCTACGGATATCCAAATCGTTGAAAGTGATTCAGACAATGATATTAATTAAATGAAAGATACCAGGGAAGAAAATGTTCTTAATAGCTATAATACAAATTTCCCATTCCCTAGATTTGAAATTTTTTTAAAATATATATATAATCCAAAACTGGCTTCAAATTTATTTGTTTAAAATGTAAAAAAAAATATTTCCTCAAATTAATCCAGTAGCTATAACCTCAAGAAACACCTAAAGGTAAATTGTCATTTTTACATTCCAATAATATTTGTTTTAAGGAAATGGAGAAACATCTAAATAATTTTGGTATAGACGACTCTACATCCAAAAAGACTAATTCAATTCAAACCAAATAAATGACAATATTTCTCAGAAATTGGCTGATAAAGTTATTGTTGATTTTATAATTTATACAGTTCAGCCAATGTCCTTGGTTGATAATCCATCATTTACCATGATGATTAAAACTCTATCCCCTGGTACAACAATTTTATGCCGCCAGACACTAATGAATAAAATAGCAGATAACTTTAAATTGATGAAAGATGCTCTAATAGTAAAGTTATCAGAGATATCATATATATGTACAACGGCAGATAGTTGGACACATCACAGAAGGTAAAAACTTATTTATATTTATCAATTGATCTGATTAAATATTTTTGAGCTTATTTGAGAATCACAGGTCTTTCATTGGCTAGACCCTAGGACTTTAAAAAGAAGATCTGTGGCATTAACCCTCAAAATGATAATAGGATGCCAGAGATACGATGTACTTGCAAATAAAATTATTGATAATCTATCTTATATTAAAAATATGTAAATAAGATTAAATACGCCCAAGTGCTGGTGTCGGGAGATTATTTAGTAAGGCAAAACTTATACTTTCTGATTTTCGCTCTAGACTTGGGGATGATAATATTGAAATGATTTTATTATTAAAATGCAACAAATTACCATAAATATTTATTTATATTACATTTTTTTTATAATCAAAACTAACTATATTTTAATATTTATAAATGTTGATTTTTATATACTATACAATAACATTATAAGCAAAGAATAAAAAATTTGTTTGTAAATTTTTTTTATAAAAAGTAGCTTAACGAGCTACTTTTTTGACAAATCGCGATAGCGGTAGCGCGCTACTTTTTTGACAAATAGCGATAGCGGTAGCGCGCTACTTTTATAAGTAGCGTTTAACAACTCTGATTATTATTCATTAAATTTTTGTATAAAACCTATTTATAAAGTAAAGGGCGAGGAAGGCGTTAGAACATTCAATACCAGGTATGAATGAATGAATTAAAAAAACTCTATAGAAATTCGACAGTAAATAATCTTTAAAAAAAATTCAAGAAATAAGCTAATAAATAAGACAAATAGGATCGCTAAAAAAATTAGCAATTTAGTTATTTAGATAAATAAAAAAACAAAAAATTACAGCGTTTGTCAGGGTCCTGATTGAACAATATGGCTTTAGATGATTCTATGTAAACGTCGCAAAATTCTTCGAGCCAAAAATGTCTCAAGGCCTCGGCAGCCAAATGAAAATCGTATTTTTCACTTTCTTCGACATCGTCATTTCTTACCGCCTCCTTTTTGGAACCATTTAGAGAAACGTGACATTTCTCTATTAACCAATCTAATCTACTCAAGATCCAGAGATCTTCAACGTTTCCTATGGAAACGGGTTCTTCGTGATTTAAACGAAGACCTATAGTGTCGTCGAGTTTCGAGAGAGCGTGAAAATAATATCTAGCCGCTTGCCAAATTTTATTACCCAATTTCCGGAACTCGGCTATTCTGCTAACGTCGATCTTAACGACTTGGGCTACATTGATTATAAAAAATTATTTTTAAATGAATATATAAAAATCAATAAATTTGTTTTGAAAATCTAGTTAAACCATTTTTTGAAAGGGATTTGATCACTACATATATAGTGGCTATTTTAAAAAAAAAAAATCTTCAGGAATAATCTGAATCTAGGTAGTAATTAAATTAAGCATGTTTCAGAGTATTACGGAAATAATTTCAAGATTTTATATGGATCTTAGATGGATATAATATTACATTTAATATTGCTGTGTAACAAGGCGAATTTTAAAGCGTCGGCACCGCAGGCAGGAATACCGTTAGGAAACATTTGTTTTTGCCCTTTTAAAGCCTTTTCTTTTTCTTGGTCACTAAGGGTATCTTTAAAAAAAATAATATAATTTTATTTAAAAAAATAATAAGTTATATATATATATATATATTAATGTTATTAAGTCGAAAAGTATTTTGTGAGAAAGCTAATAAATTTAGAAAAAAATTCTATTTACAAGGGGAGAATGAGTTAGCGACAAACCCTTATCTTTATAGGCGTTTTCTGCCTCTCTTTCACATTAAAATATTATTTATTTTTCTTAATATATTAAATAAAATAGAGTTCTTATTAGTGATAAGGTATGTTAATTTAAGTGCTGATCACTAACCCCGCATTTACAGTTGACTTGAATTCGCAAAGAATTATCTGAAATATGCTGTATTTTTATAAACTGCCATAAAGCTGCTAACTGTGAATGCAGGGTAAGGTGCCCTTATCCATTATGCTCCGATTTAAAATAAATCAATTATTACTTTATATTATCCCTAATCTAACCTAGGTAGACAAAATATTATTCATGTTGTATTCGATTTATATTAACCCTACATATGTTTTAATCTGCGATAACGTTTACATATCATTTTTTGGATTTGTTTTTTATTTACGTATACATTGATTTTTTTATTGAGGGTTTATAAAAAGTAGAGTTTAATTCATTCATTCATTAAAAATTTGTAAATATAAATATTATTTTTAAATTTTAAATCTTAGCAATTTTTAGCGCCTCCATTTAAAAAAAAAAAAGATTAGTTATAATTATAATTCATTTTAAACACCTGATAACAAGTTGGTCCTAAGATCTTTCAAACTGGCCCCATTTATGACATCTACCGGATCGACGACATTGCCCAATGATTTACTCATCTTCCTACCGTAAGTGTCGTTGACTATGCCATGATATAATATCTTTTTGGAAGAAGAAGAAACAATATACATTGCTTTAAATATTTTTTATAAATTTAGCCAAAAAATTAATGAATTTATTTTATAAAACTATGATTAAATGCTAAATCTTTCGCAAGTCATCCATTTTTTTTTGTAATCGTTAACTTGTATCGTATAAGGATGATTCTCGTATATTTGGCAAAGAAAATAAATAAACACGTCGTATCTCTCCATTTTGAATCATTTTACTGAGGACAATTTTTTAAATTTTAAAAGCTGATTTGTCAGGAATTATATTCCAGCATGTATAGAGCAATGATGTATATATCGTGCTAGATCAGCGATTCATTAATTAAAAGTGTCCAACCAGAAGAGTCAGTTGCGGCGCTATTTTTTGGTTTGCATTTCGACTAATTGTTTTTATTTATCATTATATGAATGCACATAATGTAATTTGATCGATATACAAACCACAAAATGGAGCTACAGCCGGCTCCCATGTATGGATATTTTTAAAGGCATCTAATTAATGAATCGCCAATCTAGTAATATATATATATATCATTGGCATAGAGTACCCATATTGTAAAATCTAAATCCTTTTGACGTGAACTTTAGAAATCACTCTTAATTTCTATTGATTTTTTTTTCATATAAATTTAAAAAAAAAATACGCAAAGGTTTATGGGCGAAAATTATCCGAAATTGGTAGAGTACAGGTACCCTAACACTGAGTTCACAGTTATCGCGAATCGCGGAGAAGTATACAAAATACGATATAAATATAATAATTTTACATCAATTTTGTATAATGGCGAATTCGCGCTTACTGTGTACGCAGTACACGCTGGAATATAATTTCCCGGTTAAATTTAAAATTTCATGGATTTCATATCCCAATAGGACATTTATAATAGAACTTCTTCAAACTAATTCACTTTTTTTTAAGAATTGATTTTGTAAATTCGTGAGTGATATAAAAAGAAGAATTGCGTAAATTAGGTTTGAATTCTATAATATATCACAATATCAATCAAGGACTAGGAACTATGTCATTTTTGCAATTCTGTTCTGCTCCGGTTTTTAGAAACGTTCGGGCACAGGTCCTTGAAGTGAATAATAGGAAAACAAGGATATTATTCAATTTTGATTTTCACAAATAATACAACTTTTAAAGGATAAATAATTATAAGAATTCACGATATGTAACCTCGTTAAATGGCAATGTCCCGGTTAATTCCAGTCCTAATAATAGTAATCTGGTGACCCACAAATGTCTTATGTCGAAACCAGTCTCCATCAATGACAAAGGGCATTGATATCTGTAATCGTTATTATTATTTTTTATTAAAGAAGTCCCCACTCCATGGTTACTTGCTCTAATATCAGGAAGAATAAGATTATTTGTATGGCCGAGCCGATCGGATAAGCCTAAAGGGTATAGAGCGGAGGAGAACCAGGTGTCAAAAACGTCTTCGTCTTGGAATATTTTCACGCATTCTTTAAAATCGACCAGACTTTTATAAGGAGCTTGTGATTTGGATTATATTGTATAAAGTTGGACAATTTATTTGGATCTATTTAGTACAATTGCATAGAGGAAAAAAAATAATTTTTTATTATTATTTTATTTTTCCTACCTCCTTTACTTTAATCGTTTGCCCCCCCCCCTTCTATCTCTAGATTTCAGATTTATATATATTATTTTATATATCGTATTATTAGGAAAAATTTGAAAATTTCGTAGATATCATTTTAAGCTAATTGTTCCCCTAATTATTAATACTTGTATTATTTAATAAGTTAAATGCTTTTTCGTAAGCCTGGTCATTATTCGAAGCTATTATATAAGTTATATCATTAGATTGGTGAATTGGAGTCGATTTATCATGGACAATCCTTTTCAAGTTCCCATTGACATCTGGATCTAAAAAAAAATTTCTAATTGTAGGATTAATTTATTTCAATATAACTGTTAGTAATTTTTTTTTAAATTTAAATTTTTTCAGGCTAGTTCAAGGAACATTAATATTATAATGTTAATTTTTGTTTGCAGAAATGAAATGTTTATTAACCTGTGAAATAAAATGCTGGAATTCTGTGCCCCCACCATATTTGTCTGGATAGACACCAATCCTTCAAATTCGACAACCATTCAATCATGCTTTCCTTCCCAAACAATTTATTATTCGAGGGGACTATAGTTATCTTGGATTTCATTACCTGCTCCAGCAAATTTCGCGCCATATCACCACTACATTTGAGATACCATTGGGGTTTGGCCATAGGTTCTATCACGTCCCCAGACCTACTGCATACCTCGAGGTATGTAGGAAAGTCGTAATAATCTTGGAAGAACGGGATAAAATGATTGGAATGAGATTCGAACGTACGGGTAGAAAGGTAGCTAAGTATTTCAAGTCTGGCATGGAATCTATCAGTGCCTTCACCATATAATCCCGGTCTAATGGTGCCATCGTCGCAGAATATGGAAGATATGGTGGTATCAGCCTCATAAACACATGCATAAATGAATTCATTATTTAAACTGATTTGTCATAATTCTACAAGATACTATTTCTAATATAACTCACGCTTAAATTTTGATGATTTTAATTTTCTTCTTCGATATGAACTTTCCTAGTTTTTAACATACAACCCGTTTTATTACTCGCTAATTATACTTACATCTATAGTGGTGTCATGTATCTTGTTCAAGTGTGTGTGGTATATTTCGTAATCTAATACGTCGTGAGCCGGTGAGACTTTCAATATACCTTTATCAATATAAAAAGTTTTAACTTAGCTAATGACCTATTTGAAAGTTAATTAATATTAATTTGTGAATTTATTGATTGTGTAAATTATACATAATATATTACCTGACCCTTTGTGTGGATCGACTCTGGCATCGTATATGACTGGTAGAAATTTTGGCGTTTTGTAATATTCGGATAAAGGGTGGAGTACTTTCAGTCCTTGGACATTGTAATAAGGAAATCTTGTATCGTTGGGATTGACGGCTAAAGCCACGTCATTCATTATAGTCTCTGGACGCGTCGTGTGAACTGTTAAATAACTCGGACTGTTACCTAGTAATCTACTATTATCAGCTGAATATAGAGGGTACCGTATAGCCCAGATTTGGCCGAATTTTACTCTCCGAAATTTTTTCGCTAAGGGTTATTTTTTAAAAGTAAAATATTTTATTCATTATTTATTATTATAAAAATGCTTGGCCAAAGTTTTCATTTACCTTTTAACTTACTGATGGGAAAAAGACTCAACCAATTTATATAGCTAAATTTCTAATATAAATCATCCCTAATTTAAATCTAATCATTTTAAAAAGAAAGGTTTATTTTTATTATACTATTCGCATCGGCTTGGTAATCCGGCAAGCTCATTATAGTAGGACCGTTAACCCTAATCTTTTGAACTTCCAAGTCGGAAATAGCCGTTCTCAAGTGACAGCACCAATTGACCAAGCGTTGAGATCTGTATATCAATCCTCGACTATCTAAACTTTGAAAGGCACCTTGAACTACCTTTCGGAAGTTATGGTCCAAGGTGAAGGGGTAGTCGAACATATGATTATTTGGTTTTTTTGATACGATATCGGAAAATTGATAATAATTAGCATCCAAGGGCCATTCCATGCAAAGACCCATCTTCCTCAACTGACCGGAGATCACTTGAATTTTTTCCCGCTTCCACTGATGAACCCTATCGATAAACTCCTTTCTCCCCAAAGTAAGTCGATCTAGCTTCGGCCCCTTCTCGCCAGATTTGCGTTTGAGATGCAACTCCACTCGTACCTCTGTCGCTATACCCGCGTGGTCGAATCCCGGAAGCCAGCGAACATCAAAATTTCGCATCCTGTTCCACCTGACGATGCAATCTTGGATAGCGCAGGTCAGAGCGTGGCCCAAATGCAAATGACCCGTTATATTAATGGGAGGTAAACATATGGCGAAACAGTTTGGTGCTATATTTTTGTTTAGACAAAATATCCTATACCATAACATTTTATTTAAATCATATAATGTATTATTTTTTTAAAAAATTGTAATGTTGTCCAATATAAAACGAACAAAAAAATATGACCACTAGTGTATAATATTAGTTATATATTTTTGGAGGATAAAAAAAAGTATAAATGTTAAAATTAAGTATATATTACATTTTTTTTGAATTAAGAACTCGTTAAAACTCAAAATCTAATTTACACTGATCTCCTTCTAATTATGCGAAAAATATAAGATAAATCCTTATTTCTAGTGGCATCGAATAAGCTCTTTTTTATAATTATACTAAATTTTATTATTTAATAAAAAAAAAATTCTTTTTGCCTAACCTTGTCAAAAATAAATCTTCATTCTTGACAGCTTTAAAACCCTGTAACACCCGAATCAGATAACTCAGTAAAGAGCAATCTGGGAGTATTTCTAAGTGTTTTCAAAATCTGGGATGCCAGAGTGTAAAAATTAATGAATCTGAGCAATTCATAAAAAAAATAAGGAGTTAAAATTTAGCTATAAATTCAAATTACACCAGTTGGGCACGTCCGATTCGTTCAAATGAGAGTTGGTCAAGGCTTTGTGAGTTTGGTACCATTCTTCCCACGCTTGCTGGACAATCCCTTCTATTTGAGCTGGAACGTAAGTAGAAGCCATGCAAGGGGGAAGATTCAAATTAAGTGCCAACTTTTTTGGATTGGTGGTTGATTTATAAACCGTATTTGATGCTTGATTTGTTTCGACATTTATGCTGAAGGTGTTTAAGATTTGGGGACTCAATTTCTTCTCGAAAGAGAATTCGCGATAAGTTGCAGGAACTGGACTATTAGATTCCACTTTATTCATCCAATGAGTGTTGGAGTAGAAGAATTTATTAGTTACTAACCCACGCACTGAATTCAATCGATGTTTCATACTTTTGCTAATAAATTATAATTTAAAATGAGGGGTTTAGCGATTATTTTTAATATCGGATCGACCCGACTCGGTCGCTCGGATTTTTATAAATTGAATTATCGATCAATTAATTTAGGATATAATGTTATGATTAAATCTTGGAGGGGGAGGGAGTATAGTATAATTAGTCCATTAGCTTTATAAGCGTGCATATTAATTTTATTGGTTCATTATTCTATTTCCCTTATTAGACAATTTCATATTCTTATAAGTAAAAACCGGATCAGTTTATATCTGTGTGGAGCTGATATCAACTAGACATCGGTAAAACCACGTAATATCAGTCTTTAAAAAGCTGTAATTGTTATGCATCCTATTTAAAAACTATAGAAAACTTTGCTTCTATTCTATCTTAAGTAGAAAATGAGTTAACGATTTTTTTTTTTAAAGTAAATTCTAAGAAATAAAAAAACTCTTTTTAAAAAATGGGTTTTTTTTTAGAAAATTAATTTTGATTTTAAATAAATTTACCATAAATATTTATTTAAAGTATTTTTTATGCTAGTAAATCTTATAAATAACACCTGGTCCTTACCAAACCAAAAACCTTTTTTTCAAAAAAAATAAGAAAAAATTTATAAAATTCGCCAAAATAAATCAAATGCTTTATAATTAGAAATATATTATTTAAATAATCAATTTTTTTGGAATTATTAATAATTTTCAAATCAACTCCTCTAAAAAAACGGGCGATTAAAATAATATACTACGAGGTGGTATGAAGCAATAATGGGATTAAAACCTTATGCGGCATTTATTCTAACCATGATTCGTTGAAGCGATGCGAAATAAACCGTTAACGAAATCACAAATGATTCGTCGCAGCGATAATACTTTTGAAATATATGTAAATATCTTTCGTTATTTCACCATTTCGCCCAGTATATCGGCTTATTACGTAAATGCATCTCTTGGCCGAATCGCTCTTACTATAAATGCAGCCTTAGGGTGGTACTTTAATTTTTTTTAAATTCAATAGGGTAATACCTAGTGATCTGCATAGGGCTTAATTAATCAAGCCCGACCCGGCCAAAAATTTTGTTTTCCCGGCCCGAACCCCAATTTTTTTAAAAAAAGTTATTCCGGTCAGGCCCGAATTTATTTAAATATAGAAATTAATTTTTTTTAAAAAGATATATATATCATATGGCGTTTAGTTTCTACAAATAAAATTATAATATTTTTATATATTAGCGCCTTTTTTGATATAATATAATTCAACATAGAATTGATTATTTTAAAATTTTTCCAAGGCTAGACCCGACCAGATACTTAGATCTCTACCTCCTCCTCACCCTTAAAAAAATATAATAATTATTATTGCTCATCGTTATCTTTAACTTTCATTCAATAAATCTATTAATATTAATACCCATGAAAAGTGTATAGGAATAGGAGGGTCCTCTTTAATTATAGGATTTTGATCGTATTTTCTTCCATTTTGCATCAATATTAATAGGAATTTATATGCAGGTAATTATTCTATTTATACATTTATTTAATATATTTCCAAGTAATGTTTTATCAATATTTACGCTATAATTTTAATTTACAACTATTAAATGGACCAATCAGAAAATTGGACGATCAAGTGACTACGATTATAATTAGTCAAACCATAGAAATATGTTACCGATGTAAAAAGCAAAAAAATTAACAGAACGTCCCCGTCAGGAATTTTTACGAAGGTTACCCGGCTCGAATATTTTTAATCGCTTAGCTAGATTTTGCGCAAAATATTTTGACGAGCTCAACGCTGGCCTGAAGTTCCCAACACAAATTTTAGAGCTTAGAATATCTCGTCCTTGCAAACTAAAGTCTTTGAGCACTAAATGACGATCTAAAACAGTTCCGATAAATTTGTAATCAATATCCTTAAATCGCCGATTTTCTGCAGCTATTTTATTGATCAACAGAACAGGTATTTAGAAATTTGGTAAAAAAAAAATAACATAAGATATATTAAAAAGACGGTGTGTATCTCAAATTATAAAATAAGGTTAAAATCATATGTCGTATCAAAAATAATTTTTTATATGATTAGATGCTAAATCTACAAATCTAATTTAATATTAATTTAATTCCTTCTTTACGTTAATATTTTTTTTAAATTGGTAGTGGACATTAAAAAAAAATACACTAAAAATCAGTAGTGACAACAATTAAGCAAAGTAGTTTTTTTTCTTCATAGAAAATTATTACGGTTCGGTGTACAAATTTTTCAGGTCGGGGCGTAAAACCTTTTCAAAAATTTGCATATAGGAGTACACATAACATCTACTCTAACTATCACCTGACACACAGGAGCCTAAAATTTCCTTAAAAATTTTTTCAAATGAAATATACATAAATTTTGATATTTGTTAAAAATCGAGCAGAGTAAAAAAGAAATTATTCATAATCGATGAAAAGCAAATGGTGCCAATGTTCTAGGGATAAATTTTATTTTTGTCAAGTTGGCAAACGATTACTTTTGTTTTACTCTCAGGTTAAATATAATAATTATTGTTTGGCTTAAAATAGCGGTATTTTTAATTTGACCAAATGCGAAGAATAGTTAAATAGACTGGCATTGCCTTTTACCTAATATAGATGAAGACTAATGGTAAAAAGCATTACGAGTTCTTCGAAAAAAAAATAAATGATTTATTCGATAGAAATACTCCCTCCTCAAGAGCTAGCGAGCAAGTGACCGCCACTAGAGTTCAACATTATAGAAAAATAAAGATTTATCATTGAAATATAATGCATATGCAGTGAAATTAAATAAGGTCTTTACTATGATCATTCATTCATAAATATGATTATATTCCCCCCCCCTTTCCTAAATTTAGTGTTAAGTGCTAGAAGAAAATCATGAAACCTAAATTATCATCATTATTGGTTATTTTTTTATAGAATATATTACTAATTTTTATAAGAGTTGCGAGACTTTCTTTACAAGTAGAATAGCAGAAGTAGAAGACCTTCCTTCCAGATCCGTTTGAGATCGAGTGAGCGTCATTAGAATTTACTTTATCAGCAGGAGTAGGAGACATTAAGAATTTATTTTAAAACGCAATTTATTTTAATATTAATGCAACTAGATATATAAAACTTTTCATTAAAAAAACCATAACTTCGAATTAAAATTAAAAAGTTACTTATAAAAATATTTTTATATATTATATATGTTAGCGGTAATCTCTTTTTTCCGACAATGTGTTATTTTTTCAACAATGAATCTTTTGATCTCGTTTTTTAACATTTTTCTAATTTTACCAGAAAGGTATTCCATCAAGTTTGGAATACCTAACCTATGAATTTCAGACAATTTTGCCATTTTTAATTTTCCCATATATATTAAATGACTCAAAGGGTTATGGCAAAATTGTCTACAATTCACAAGTTAAGTATTTTAAACTTGCTGGAATACATTTCCTTTAAAATTAGATTTTTAAATTTTAAAAAACGCGGTCCAAAAATGATTCAAAGTTGAAAAAATAACACATTGCCTATAACATTTAAACATAAAATTCGGTCCCTTTTATAGGGAAAATAAAAGGCGCAATAATAAATATAATTTGTTTTAACGCATTCATAAAAAAATATCATCTGTCTAAAGTCAATTTGTACTATCTCATATAATTGTGGATAAAACCAACCCCCCCCCCATACTACTCGGGATTCTAATTATACCCTCGGAATAAGGACAATCTCATGGACCTAACTATATAGTTTGTAATTTAGGAATACCTTAGTAAGGAATTCTAAAAGGAAACACAAATGGTCACATGTTTACTTTCCGTGTATTTTAAAACTAAACCAAAGAGGGACATGAAAAAAAAAACTAGGTCATACATTAAAATTAACCTAAGGGCAAAAAAAAATATTAAGACAATATTAAACCAACTAATTTTAAAAAAATGGAAATACAGGGTACAAATTTGGATGGTCGGGGATGACAAAAACAAAATTCTAACCGGGTCGTTCTTAAAAATTTTGCTATTTGAAAACCTTTACTGTGTCTAGAATCGTTGTAACCGTCATGATTCGATTGAACCAAAATTATCTTTAGAAATTTAAGATTAAGGATAAAGACAAAACCCCACCGAGCCCCAAAAGCCGGACCCATCAACTGTATCCGGGAGAAGGGTTGAATCGATATTTCGGACTGGGCCAGGAATTTTTTTGATAGGTAGAGTAGATAGGGTTAGAAATATTTTTTACTATAATCTCGAATTTAATCAGTGATATCAATAAATTGATAGTTTGATCGCAAATTATTTTTAAAATTATGTTTATTTTAGAGAGTATTTCTTATAAAATACCAAAAAAATAAATGGAATTAATTCTGTACATTACCCTTTAAGTAATATAAATAAAAATAAATATTAGCATTTTATATTGTGTGATGATAAAATTTTGGAGATGGATCCACTTTTATATCATTATAGGTAGTTATCATTAAACGGCTCGATTTTTAAAAATGGATAACCCAGTGACGAAGTATCAAGTTTACTACTAGGGAAGCAATCAAAAAAAATTTTTATTTTTATTTTGGTCAAACTCAAACCACAAAAACATTAAGATTTATAAATAAGTGGTATTCGTCTTTGTTTTTGAGTAAAATGATCAAGTACTGCATTATAAAAGTTATTGCTAGATTTTAAATTTTTTAATAATTTTTTTCAATAGAAATCAAAGATAGATTCGATAATCGATTTTGGCTCATCCTGTTTCTTCAATAAGATTTGATTCTTTTAAAGATGAAAAATTCTGTTCTGCACTTGCTGTTGTTGAAGCCAAAGTTAAGATGAATTTGCATAATTTAAAAACTCTTTAAACTTTTCATCAAATCGGTGCACATTAAAATTCAAGTATTTCATTAACATTCTTTTTCTTTCTAAATTTAACATCCCGAAACACTACCTTTAATTCGGTTTCCAGCTTGTGTAAGTCGAAAAATTGAGAATAAGTGCCGTTTAAATTATCAAATAAATATTTTGGGAAATTGATTATTTGTAATTTACTAATATCTAACAATTAGACGAATTTAATATATTTTGGTGTAAGACATATAAAATAGAATTAATCAAATCATTTTGAATATTGCTTGATAGTACAATAAAAACTGCACTATTTCTAAATAATGTTTCAATAGTAAATTTTCTTCCGCGAGCAAATAAATTAATACAATATAATTTCCCTTATTTACTGAATTAGAAGTATCATCATCACCACGGAATACGAGCTCCTGAATTCGAAGAAAACATATAGAGTTGATCAATATTTTCAATATTTCTCTATTTGATTTGACTTTAGAATTATGCTGTTCGATTGATATTTTGCGCATCGAATCTATCATATTTTCAATACGATTTTGGCCAAATGTTTTTAATTGAATCATCGACTGCAAATGAGCGGTTGATTCTTTGCCGTTTAACTGCCTTTGAAAAATTATTCATATCCGAAAATCCTTTATCATTCCAAACATATTTTTTCTTTGGGAATAATAGGCATGACCAATAATATAGAGAATTAGAAAATTCACATCCAGTGAGCCATTCATATTTTTCATATTTATCGATAGAAAAATTACGGGTGCAAGTTTCGATTTCTTTTTGTAAGTTTTGGTCTTTCTTTTTCAATAATCAATTTTTTCGCATCAAAATTTCTTGAGCAAAATGATAATGTTAATAAATTTTCAATATAACAATTACAATTATTAAACATTAATTAAGGATAAAAAAACGAAAAATTTTTTATTTTAAAAAAGTAAGGGAAAAAATATTATATAAAAAAATTTATTTCTCTTTTACTTATTAAAAAATAAGCATTTTTTTATTTACTACCCCAATGCTTATTTTTTAATGGTAAAATTACACAATACCATGGCATGATTTTCTCTTTATTTATTAAAAAACCATGTATATTTTTTTTAACATAGTAAAAATGATAGTAAATTTTTGTTTAGTTTATTTAGAATATTACAAAGATTATATTAATTTATTTAAAAATTTTGTAAGAAAAATTTTAAGGGAAGCAATGCTTCCCTTGCTTCTATGGACACTTCGTCACTGGGTTAACCCAATATTAGCATTATGTAACCCTAGAGATTTTGCTCATAAATCATAGAAAAGTTTGGACATCTATTTGTGTAATATTTTTTGGTTAAAATATTGTGTTAGCATTTATATAGATCAAACCTTATTTACAAAACTAATTAAAGGTTCAAAATAGTGTTTGGTAACACTGCTTAAGTGGTGGTAGAGAATCCTAACTGTGAACAATATTTGATGCTTATAGTAATTGGAAATTATTTTTAATAATATATTAATTGCTGAGTTCAATGAAGGTTAGTTAGCTGGATATTGAAAAAAATGTATAACAAAGGAAATTTGGTTATAATATTTTTTTTAACAATTATATCAATTCAAGTAATTATATATTAACTTATTTTTATTATAATGTAATTATTACTTATGCTGCCTTTAAATCTTTTTCATTAATTGATTATTTGACAAAATTTTCAGAGAGCTTTGATATAAATTCCTTAAAAATATAACTAATTATACAATTTATGAAAGCTTATTTTACATGTATCTGTTTGAAAATTGGGGATTGATTTTTATTTCTATATGCACCTAAACAAATATAAATAGCTTTATTTATTGAACTAATCATAATAAACAAAATTATCTATATAAAAAGAAATAATACTACATAATTTATAATAAAAAAAATTATATTGAGTGGACGTGGATGGATTAGATTGTCATTTTAATCACTATTCCTCAATTAAGTTAGTATTGCAATCAGAATCAATCTTTTTATCAACATTCTTATATCGAATATTAGTGTAAAACTTCATGTCTTCTTCACCATGTTTCCTTATATGTATATGCTTGTTCATTAACATATTATCAATTATCCAAAACATCAATATGTTGATGAACAGTGGAATTATCAAAACTACTAGTGCAACTTCAATTTTTGGATTATTAATAGGTATAGTGAGATAACCGAATATATTTTTAAAAAATTTGAATTGTATTAAAATAGTAATAAAAATTTTCTCTATTATCATTATAGCAATATAAATACCACATTGTCTAAGCCAATATAAAAGAGAAGGAGGTTTTCCGTAGGAACCAAATTTTAAGGATTTATAACCTTTCAATTTTACAGTGTATTGAAAAAATTTTAACAAAGCAAATATTATCACCAATCCAACTGTTGAATCCATAAGAAAATTTGTAATATACCATGTACAGGGATCTCCATGAAATATATCAGATAAAAATATATTTGCAAAATGTATCACTAAGGCTCCTATAGCTTGCTTTGATGTGTCAAAAAACCAGATAAGCCAGGGCCTGCGTTCGAATAAAGGTTCGAAATATCTTTTTAATATTAATGATGCAAATGCTAGTATTCCCAAAACAAATTGAACCATCATCCCATAGGAATCTGTCAACGCCCCATGGGGACAATGAGAATTTATATCATCGTTTTGCAATTTTATTAAAATACTTACATTATTAGGCATTCGATTTATTTATTTTGTAAAAAATTTTAATCAATAAAGTTATTTATATATTACTTATAAGATTTAAAATCATTGCTACTGTCGATGTTGGCACAGCTGGCAAATTCGAATCTTATCTTATACTATCTAGCACGTTGGTCAAAGACTTGCCCAAAATGAGCAAATGTGAATTGTTTATTAAAATCATTAAATTAACAGTAGTCATATATCTTTTATATAATAATTTTGCAAATATTATATTTTCCTTATTTTGAGCAGTTAGTAAAATTTTAAAATTTTAAATACTAAAAGGTTTTTTTACATATCTCTGATATAACAGCTGTCATCATAATATTTCGGGTATATTCAATAATCTATTTTACCAGATGCGATGTTACACCGTATTTATGGTATAAATGCAATTTTCTACCTATTGCATATTTTTTTGTAAAAAATTTAATGTATATAACAAATATTAAAGTTTTAGTGTATTATATTTAGAATTTGCATTAAAGATATTTATCTTATTTCATTATGCATATACAAGAGATTTTTAAGTCAGAATTAAAGCATGTATTAAATTATAATGATGAAACTTCAGAAAAAATAGAATTTTTGACTTGTGAAAATACAAATCAAATCTCTCCTTTCAAACTGCAATTGGAGGAAAATATATTTAAAAATCTTTTCTACAATCAATTTAAAAAATTTGTTCAATTTCTTACAAATGTATTTTTACCTAAAGGATATCCAGAATCAGTGAGTCCTGATTACCTATCCTACCAGATTTGGGATTCAGTTCAAGCTTTTTGTAGTTCTATCTGTGGAACATTATCAACTAGAGCAGTTTTAACTGGATTAGGAGTTGGAGATCCATTTGCCACACCATTGGGTGCTACTTTTAATTGGATTATCAAAAATGGAGCAGGTATGTTGGGGGGAATATCATTTGCTGTATTTGCTGGAGAAAGGCTTGACTCAAATTTGAAACAATGGAGACTTTTTGCTGATTTTGTCAATGATGCTGCACTGGCCCTAGAGATGATGACTCCTTTTTTTGTTTCCTCATTATTATTATCAAAAATATGGATTTTTTTAAAGCATATAAATTATCTAGCCTTTAATTTTCTGCTTAGGTATCCCATTTTGGTTATTCTCCAAGCCATAGCCTATATAGCTACTAATACCTGCTTAGCCTATAGATATGGAAGTGGTGATAATTGCACATTTTTACAACTCCAACTGCAGAAATTAAGTGATTCAAGAAAACTTATGTCATTTAACCCTACCAACATCACATCTCCCTCTATGGACAATGTATTAGGACCCCGAAGCATAATAAACTGGCCTCTCATAACCTTGTTATGCTTTTCTAGTGTTGCTCAAGCATGTGTGGGAGTTGCAGGTTCAGCTACCCGTGCTGCTCTTGTACAACATCAGTCTAGGGCCTCTAATATTGCTGATGTTGCAGCCAAAGATAGTAGTCAAGAAACTCTTGTCAACCTTTTAGCCCTATTAGCTTCTATCCTTTTTGTTCTGCCATTACTTGATAATAATAGGTTGAACAAACTCTGCATAACTTGGATAAGTTTTGTATTCCTCATCTCCTTTCATTTATATGCTAATTATCGGGCCATGAAGAATATAAACATGGTGAAGGTCAATGCTAGAAGATACAAAAGCTTGGTGATAGCCTTTTTGAGTCAGGTGGGTCTGGAGACAAGCCCAAATAAATTTTTTGAAAAGATGAGAAAATTTAGAAATGAAAAATATCATACTATGTCTCCAAAATTTATAAACAAATCTGAAAGTTTGTGGACTGGAAATGATAATTTTGAATATCATTATTTAGCTAAAGATGGTGGAATCAAACTTTCAACATTAGGTTGGGAACACTATGTTAAGATGGGTATCAGATTTTCTGATGTTATTACTGAACAAGAATTTTCAATATGCAGTAATATTTATGATGTACTTAAACATGCCACTCCTGATGAATTCACAGCTCAAAATATAGAACATTCCCATTACTTTAATTATGTTTTAGTTGCCAAACCTTTTAGGCAGTCTTGCTTAACCTTAAATACCTTAGCAATTTTATCTTTAGTAATTAGGCTAATATTTATCCTTCCATGTATGTTATTCTTTCAACCACTTCTCCATATATACAATGCATATTCAGGTAAAAGTATAAAATTTATTAGCTTCCTTGACAAATTGATTTCTTTCAATAGACCTATAAACAAATATTTCGTTTTTATAGCTTTGCATTCCTCTGCCAAGGCTCGAGATCAATTAATGGCGTTATTTCAAACTGAATGCTTTTATTTCTTTATGGCTCAAAAGGCTTTGAAAGGAGAAAATGATCCAGAACCCTCAACACACAAGAATAACATAATCAATGCCATTAAAACAAGTGCTACATTTACCCAAAAATGTTTTGGCGATTTTTATGATATTTGTCAGGAGAAATATGGATGGGATTTTGATACAGTTTTATTCAATTGTGGAGAGTGGAGGTTTCGAATTCAATGAATGAAATTTTATAAAGATTTTGCAATTTTTTTTTAATATTATTTGGGTATAGTGTGTAATATCATAAATTAAAATACTTGTAAAATTTTATTAGCTCAATAAAAAAAATTTGTTGGGTCATATTATTCACCTTATAGATGGTAAACTCTATGTCAAGATGGCCAAAAAAATATAGTTAGATTGAGGCCTAAGTTTTTTTAAAAAGCTTATTAGGGAAGAAATCTCAACCCTCAGGCTATTTATTTTAATGCCATATAAATATTCAGCAATAACTTTGATAATTTGATGATGTTTTTCTATTTTTAGAGATATTTCCCACCGTTATTTTTAATAAGCTTTTCTTATTTATTTTTTTAAATTTCATTTTATAAATTGTGATATTCAATCCGGCAAATAAGAATAGAAAGAAAATTTAAGATTGATATTTTTCGGGCTTCGACTTAGGCTTATATTTTATTTATGATGAAGGCTCTAGTCTCGAACTTTTTGTTATATGGATTTAATGTTTCACGAATAAAAAATAAAATTCAGGCCAAGCATAAAAATTTATGAAGGTTTTTTGAGGGGGTTTAAAAACTCTAAAATTAATGTTCAATATTTATTTTTTATTGAAGGGTGCCCGCCTAGTATAGCCGGCCTCACGTGCTAATAGCTCAACTCAAGATTTTTTTTTTAATTGCATGGGACGAATAGAAATTTAAATTAATCAGATGTTTTTAACGATAATTTCCTTGAGTTGGGCCATAATCCACCTTACATACATTCGGCTTGATAATTTTTTATTTGTATTCATTTTGAATTTTCGGTAAAAGAAAAAAATATTTAAAATACTATTTCATTATTTCTATAAAAAAATTTGTAGTTAGTATTAAAAGCGCTGTATATTTATATCAATGACGTTAAATGTTCGTAATTTTCGTTCAAATTTTTTTTGATTCATAATTTACGTCTATCTTTATTACTTGCTTGCACCCCTCTATTTCGCACTCAGGGCATTGAATTTATAAGATTTCAATAAACTTCCTAGAGAAAAGAATTTTATATATCGTCACATGAGAATTAGATTAATCTATAGCCACTTTTTGTCAAAAATCACTTTATTTTACATAAATAAATTTTTTATAATTTTACTATTCTAATTCACATAAAAATTCGAAATATATATAAAATAAGTTAAATTATAGCCACTACAAGGTTAAATATCCTGTTGAAAACAATAGAAACTTTCCTATAAAAATGCAAAAAGTGGAGATGGAATAATCTAATTCTCGGGCGACAATAATTATAAAAATAAAAATTTTTTAACGAATATTTTCGGCGTTTTTTGAAAAAGAAGAATAACTGTTATCCAAGTTGTGCCGATTCATAAATTTTTACCGATCTGATATTACTATAAACCCGATCAGATATTTATATTGATTTTCATTTGCCGTCTATCTTTGTAGCAACGTCATAAAAGGGTCAATATTTTTTCTAATAAAAAAAACCGACCCAATATTCACAATTATTAAGTTGTATTTCGTTTTGTTTTTCTTATCCATTCTCAAAAAGTTAATTATTTCATTTAAAATATGCGCAATGGCTGGATATAATGTTGTTAAATGACTTGATTTACCCTATTTTTAAAAACGATTAAAATCAAGATTTCGACTCAAATATCTAAGCCATAAATTTCGCCTAAAGATATCCAAACATTTTTGTCATCTATAAGCAAAATCTATAAACTTGTGGAATTTGCTTTTGGCTAAAATTTTGAGGTGTCGTTTTCAAAAATTGACTAAATCGAACCAACTTACATTAACTGACTGACCGATAGATATGTTTAAATTTCCTTTCTTATTACAGATGATATAACAAACAAATTTTTAGCTGGAACTATCTTTTAATTAGATTTTTTCAAACATTACAAATAAATTGAATTTTATTCCTTTTATTAATTTATTACTATTAAAAATTATGTGTGATATAAAAAAAATATTATTTAAGCGGTCATAAAATAACCAAAAACAATTTTAAAAAATATCGCATTGGGTCTGTTCATAAATATTGGCCCAGTCCAATATTTTTTAAAAACGCTAAATATCATCCATAAACATTTGCGACGTTAATATTTATTCGTTTTTATAACTAAATTTTTTTAAGTAACTTTTCAATCATATTTGATATGTACTTAATTTATAGTTACTATATTTTCTTTGTAATGCAAATTAATTAAATTAATAATTGAATAGTAAAAAAATTTTATTCGTTCATATAATCAATCTTTACAAGCTTTTATATAGTATCGATTTTTATAACCACAATCCTTTTTCATATATATATATATAATATATATAGTATAAAAAGTGAGTTATATATGATTTAAATACGTAAAAAAACTATAAAAAAATGATATAGCATATGTATTGATATAATATTAAAATTAGGCGAATATTCTAAATAGATAAAATTACATACACAGGACGTACGATCAAATCATCGATTATAAAACTAGTTAATATATTAAAAATCGAGTTTAATTGGAGATAATATGGCTTTGGCGAATGAAATCAAATCATATAACTAATACGTTTTTTTTGTTTTGTTATTCAAAACCTTTTTACCCCGGATAAATTCCGTTTCGATGATTGGATTTTACGAAAGAAAAAATATTATGGTTTGAAAATTATAAAGGAGAAACCAGTTTTTTGAATGAAAAAGGTATAAGTGGAAAAATTGAAGAGAGAAAAAAAATAACCATATAAAAATTTAGCGAATCAAATTTATTAAGTTTTATTTTTGTTATAATCAATTGGACGTCAGTTTAAAAGATCGGCCTTCATTTCTCTCCCTACGTTGTCATATTTAAGATACGGTTAATATTTTTTCTTATTTAAATAATCATTGAGTTTCTCCTCCGAAGTTATCATCCCAAGATTCGTTATCACAGGGGCTTGTTAGGGGTTTCATTTTGCCTATATTTTTGGGCGGGAATTTGGCGGAATGATGCTTAAATTTTATTTTAAAAAAATATAAACATTTTGATATAAAATTATCGCTCTCAAAATATTAAGTTGCCGTTAGTTTATATTCTTATGGCCTCAAAAAAATAATGTTAGAAAATTGGGTGGCTTAACTCGAGCAGCACCTAGCTTTGAAGATGACCCAAACAAAAACAAGGCTTAATCACTGAAAATCTGGAGTTAGGGCTCGAAGGCAATTTAGCAAAAATATTCTTGAAACTTTAAAAATACCAATTTTTTAGAAAAATTGGTATTATATGTAAGTATAATGGCACTTAGTGCCTCCATTTCTGTTTATCCTGGTATAATATATTTAATGGTAAAAATATATCAATTAAACGTTTGTCTCCTTAAAATCGAAATTGTTATGGAAAGAGTCGGGTGGCATGATGATGACAGCTGCCCAGGGGTCATTTTGATTTTTCGAAGATGTTTTGAGTACTTTATAAGGTGATGGTTTTTCTACGAGCTTTTCATTCAATTCGGATTGAAGTTTTAGATTTTCCAAGGCTAATGAAGAAAACATTTACATTAAATTTTTAATACCATAATTAATTTAGATGATTTCGTCATTTAGAAAGCAATAAAAACTTCTTTTTTTAATAAAATATACCGTTAGGAATGCCAATTTCGGGTTTTTGGTTAACCGTTTCATTGTTGTGGATTGTATTATCGTTTAGTTCTGGAGTCGATGATCTAAAAAAAAACAATATAATATAGAGGACATTTCCTCTTAGAAATTATTTTCAAGAAAGATTACTCGTATATCCCCCATTATATCCTTTCCTTTAAATCGCGTAAAAATTGAATGATATCCATATAATCGCCAAATTAAATATTTCTTTAAGTTTTTTTTATAAGAGTTACATTATACATATTCGATTTTAACCTTTGCAAATTGGTGTCTTTATTGATGTTCAAAAATTCGTCGCTGCCTGGGATGATGGGCAAAAAAATAGAAGGTTTATAATTGCGGAATGGACTTGATTCCTTTGCCGAGAGCAATGGATTATTGTTCTTACTATCTATTTCCTGTAATCAAAATTTACGAAGGAAATGGAGGTTGATTACCAAACAATATAATAACATTTTATGTTTTTTAAAATGATATACACGCAAGGAATAATAAGACCGAAAATACTAAAAAAACTTATAAATACAACCAAGTCCTTTAAACCTCAGTTTAACTTCTGAATATAACAAGAATAAATAAAGATGTGAATAAGGGAAGAAATAAGTATCATCTTTAGTAGTATCAACATCTTAACATATTCTATTCGCCTAAAAATTATAGAATATGAACAAGTAAAAATATAATTAAGAGGTAATTTTTTTGGTGTATTCGAATTCATATATTATTTTTTATAACAAGATTAAAAACTATCAGATCCAAAAGTCAATAACCTAAATTTGAATTTTCTCCTAAAAAAAAATTTTGTAACAGTTAAATTAAAAAACATTTTTATTGGAATCGAAATCATCATCTGTAAGAGATTTGAGATCTGGCGAATTCCATTCGTAATCACTGTCTATGTCTCCCACATTATTATCGTCATCGGAGAATTCATCGATATAATTATTCGGCTCATCATTGGGGGTACTTGTGGTTGGCGCTTAAATTTATTTTTAAGAATCAAATTCCTTTATAAGGGATTCATAATTGTTTTTGAGTTAAGGAATTACATAATATTTAATTTAATTTAAGGGGAAAATAGTGAGATTTGGCAGGATATATCCATATGTATTTAGGCCTATACATGATGCAAGACACAAAAATTAATCTGTTAGTGTTGATAATTAGAGGAATTCGTTTTAAACCTTTCAGGCCCATAGATAACTTTTGGGATCATAATTTTTTTATATGTATCAAAATAGGCTATTGATAACTTTTGGAATTCTATTTTAAATTTATTATATTTGTTGCTCCGTATTTTATTGCATCACAATAATTATAACTTCTATTTTCGAGCCAATATTTTAAACATAATTTCTAGTTATTAAAAATGTGGCTAAAAATAAAAGTAAGTAAATCATTTATAATATAATATCTCTTTTGTTATTTGATGCTAGATAATTAATTACAATGTCATATGATATCTCATTGGTCATCTTCCATGCAATAATATTTGTTTAAATTTTTTGATCAATAAATGCAATTTTTTATTTATGCTTATATATGTTATTTAGCAGGCGTGTGCCTCCCATCGATCGTCACTTTGTCTGTTCATGAATAAAATAACGACTGTAATTCAAGATTTTTTAGAAAAATATGCGAAATCTCAAAACTATTTTTATATGATATTATAACCAAAGGCCTACAATGTGGACCTCCAATAAATTTTATGGCGGAAAGCCCCGCATAATAGTACCCGCTCCCCCTCCATAAGAAAATCCTGGATACTCCTATGTTATTTAGGGTAAATAATAAGATAAATTTATTATTTTTAAATTATTCAACAAATGTTAAATAGTTTTTATATATATGTATATATATATTTCGTTATTGAAAATATATATATGTATATATATATTTTGTTATTGAAAATATATATATGATTATAGGAATGGCTGAATAATTCGATTACAATATTATATTCTAATATAATATTAAATAATTTTTATATTAACCTACATAGAAATTTAGGTTCATGGTAAGGGCTTAATAATTTGATTATTTATTGTATATTATTATCTAATCCAATTAGTTTCATGCATTTAATTCTTTTGGTAAAATCCCCTGAGGCGATGTTTCTAAAGTCGATATAGGGAACTCTAATGAAAAAGATAATTTCTACCTATTGCTTGTATAGATTATTCCCTTATTATAGATTTCTATAGAAGGTAAGATGCCACTAAATTATTTGCTTCAATTTATATATAGATATAAATATTTGTTTGTTTGAACAAAGTGGGAGATAGATTTTAGGAAAAATACGATCAAGCTATCTGACTGGACGTTTTGAAGAATGATAAAGTACTAAAAAAAGAGAGGATCTGATCTGTCGATTTAAGAGTAATGGTAAATCTTATCTACAAGAGACAGGAATAATATCAAATCTCATAGGTATTTTACCAACATAAGGAAAAATTCTGAGAAGGCACTATTCTAAGACAATGAATGTAAGAAGGAGAAAGGCTATTAATATAGTGCCAATATTAGAAAAGATCAAATGGTGCATTTCCAGTTGTCTTCAACTATAAAGAAAAGGTGTATTTGTGTTAAAGCTTATTCTAAATTTTTAATGTAATTAATATAAAGTTTATTAATGTTTATATAATAAACGCAATTGTTAAATGACTTTTCATTCAAATATAATATTTTTTAATATACACAACTATTATGCAAAATATTAACAATTGGAACCCTTGCGTTTTTTTTTAATTGAGTACACAAAAAAAGAAATTTCAATGAAAGTCTTATTTATGTTTATATTAAGTATATAATATAAAAATTGTCAAAGAAAAACGTCTGGCGTGAATAGGATAAAATTTTCAGTATAATTCAAATAAGGTAACACTTAGAGCCCTGCGCACACTGTCTAATGCTCAGGTCGCGCTCTTACATTGAAGACTTTTCACAGCCCAATCGACAATTAAATATATCTCTAACAATCATTTTGTTTCATCGATGTCAATCAGAATAACATGTCATTTTTCATTTAAATTTCACTTATTCATTTAAGTGATTTTCCATTTCCCAAATTAACACAACTTCCTGTGATCGTGATGTGACTAGTTAACTCTGTAACCTACATACATCATATCCTATCAGGTTAAATAATGTATATTGTATTTTAAATTTAGCCAACATAAAATCTAGAATAATAATCTATTATAACAGTTATGAAATATTTTCATTTGATAATTTTTGTTTGATCTAAGATCTCAATTAAATAGCCTTAGATCATATTTATAAAATTATTTATAGAATGGATCCAAATTTAAAAATAATTTCTGAAAAGATTAAAACTCAAGAATTTGATAACAAAGAAAAATGGAAAATCTGAGGGATGGAAGAAATTCCTACTTATAATTTTTATAAATAGGGTGAAGAATTCTAAATTTTTTTTAGTCGGCCTTGGGTTGGACTGAATAAAGTACTAGGGTCAAGCTCGGATAAAAAAAATTTAAATTTGGGCCTGGCTCAGGCCGCGAAAAAATCACTTTGCAGGGCTTTATACATCACCAGAAAACATTTAAATAAAATTTTTAAAATTGTATTATTTCGATTAAAAGTGTTTTTTTACTTATCACATTACCATGATCAACGTCTTTGGAATGCTGTAAGTCCGTCATCAAATAATGAGAGGGACCCGGTTCAACCATAGCATCTTCCCTAATAATAAATGAGAGATCTTCATAGGAGGTAGTTTTATTGTGGTCATTCAGCACTATGGTTGGACTAGCATAATTATGTGCATAGGTCTTGATATCTTTGACATAATGGACGACGTCGGCATTTTCAATGTTTCGTAATGAAGATAAAGAATTTAATGTTGTAATACTGTCGGAATAGTTTCGTTGTGTGGTCTTTTGCTTTTTGACGGTTAAAAAATCGTTTGCGGCAATGTTTTTGGTGAGGTTGTTAGAGAGCTCTAAACCAACAGGTTCATCATAGAAAAGAGTTTCAATCCTAATAAAAAAAATGTTTCGAATTTTGTGTTAAATCAATATTTGAATTAAAGGTCTGGAAAATATTTTTGGTACAGACTTGCAAGTTACTCTACAAGCAGGCCAAAAAACTAAGCAACTTCGCGGGTCATTTCAGGTCGATTTTTAGTTCCCATTAATATAAATTCAAACCCTATCACACAAAAATCTAAACGTATTCAGTAGAGTATGCTTTGTGACAATTATTAATTTTTAAGTTTTAAAAATCATTAATATTAACGACTATAATCCACATTAAACTTTAAATATTGTAAATTAGGCTTATAAAGTGAAACTATAGATAAAATATTTTATTACTTATTATCTGCCGTACTCACAAATCCATATAACAAATACCCATTTAAAATAAAATTATTAGATATCGAAATATAAAAAAAACCTTGGATCGTCAAAATTATTGTCATGATCAGCTTCTATTTCTTGGCGTTCATTGAATCTGTGGAATTGTCTTTCCCGACACATTCGGGAGAAGGCGGCTTCATCTATCTCCCCGAGGTCTTGGTCTTCGTCGTGATATTTGAATTCAGTATCTATCATCTTATTATTATTTTTTAAAGATTTGATGAGCCCAACAATAAGTTAACAATGAAAAGCTTTAAAATTTAAGCAACGAGATTTCTTCCATAATAAAAGGAAAATCTAGGATAATAATTCTAACATATTGTGTGATGGCAAATGTCTTTTTTAAGACACAAAAATTTTGTCAAATTTTTTGAACATTTAATCTCAGTGGATATATATATATATTAAAAAAACCTATATTAGCACCCCATAACTTTTACACAAAATATAAAACTTGCCCATTCCAAATACCCTTTCACTACCTTCGTGAGCCGAGAGTTAAGAAGTTTATCTTGCTTTCTCGTGATAAATAACCATAAAGAAAGAAAAATACTCATTAAAATTAATCTAAAGTGGAGAAGCAAGACACCAAGATTAGATTTTTTTTAAAAAAATGTTTCAAAAATGCCACATTAATTATATACCGTTTCGTTTTCGGGTGATTGCTTTTACCTAACTTTAAAAAAAACATCAAAATAATTTTTAATTATTCAAAAGTTTTCAAATTGATAAATATAGATATTTACATCTTCCTCATATTTGATATCTCGGATTTCGTGGTTGAAATTGTAAAAATTTGACTCGAATTTCCTATAGAATAAATATAAAAAAAATTAGACGATTGACAATAATATTATACAATAATTATTTTCAAATATGCTCTTGAGGATAAGCAGCGTTATATTTATATAAACTAAAGTCATATTAATTCATATATACAGTTCTTCTATAAACAAATTTATATGGTATTAACAATTGTAGCACCTCTTTCCTACAAGGAAATCAAAATTCTAGAAATTTTAAATTTAAAAAGAAAAAAGGATTCAATAACTTAACACATTGTTTTTGATAGTTTTAGAATGCTGTCATTATTTTGTTGTTTTTTTTAAAGTTGAGGGTTAGGGGGAGGGGGGTGGGGTGTTAACCTTATATTGAACTTTAATGTAGCAAAGTATAAAATTAGCATACTCTTCCGCATCTTTGTCGTATTGATAACCGTCATCTAGTGCTGCTCCTTTGAAGAACTATATTTTTTTTAAACAATTAATTGATTAAGTAAAAAAAAATTGTAAACTTTTAACAAAAAAATCCTTTGATTTCCTCAATTGATTAAAAATATAATAATATTATCTAAACCTATGAGATTTGGTCAGGTTAACCTTTCTGCCATATTCATAATGGTGAGGGTTAGTGTAATATTTTTGAGTTAAAATCTCGAATTATCTACATTTTTAAAAAATCGTCTAAATCGAGATCTTCGATAACACTAACAAATCTTCAAACATTCTCTAAATAATTATCAATGAATACATTTCCCATTTTTATTGATAAAAAATATCCTTTTTTTAGATCGGTTTCAATAGGTTATATTTAATAAATTTATGACATATTTTTAAAAAAAACCTCATCTTCCTGGCTATTTTCCTTGTAATAGGATTCGTAGGCAAAGCTATTGTGACAAATTAATTGCTTGACGGACTTAAGTCGATAGGAGGTGGTAAAAAAAAATGTGATTAATTTTTTTAAAATATTTATCTACGTAATAGTCAAACATCCGTAACATCTTAGTGCAATCTGGGAGGGACGTTTGACTTTATTTTTAACAAATCGTCGGTTGAGTATTATAATGGTTCAATTCCATTTTTTTTAAAAATAATTTTTCAGAAAGATCATTTTTTAAAAATGTATTTTAGATAGAAGATTATACCATAGTAATTCAAATAAAAGGAAATATTCTAAATTTATATGGGTTAACATATTGGTGATAACAGATGGATGCAGCTTTGGATGATTGATTTATCGAAAATAATATATTTCGCTATAAAAAAAGGAAGAAGTGGATATAGAATATTTTAATACTCGACCGAAGAAATGACAAGATAGAGCAAGAAGGAAAAATACATAAAGGAATAAGTAATGACACATAAAAATGATGGGTAGTAATAATAAATAACATTTTTTAATAAAAAAAACCATTTGAAGCGAATTCATGTCGTTGATTTTAGCTAGCGATCCTTGAAACTCATCCCAGCGATCAAGAATACGTTCGTCGATATCTTGAAGAAGAAAAAATATTGCAATTTTATTTTAAGTTAAATAATTAAACAAATAAATATAAATGAATAGATAGGATAGAAAATTAAGAGCCTAAATAAGATGATTATATTATTTTTTATAAAAAAGTTATGAAAAAGGCTAACATTGAAATAGGTTATCTTGCTGAGAAAAGGACTGATTTTGTTGTTGGATAAGGTTAGATAATTCGAGCAAATGTCCCATATAGCCTCTTCGAGGTAATTGTTTCGTATCTCTTAAAAAAAAAATTTGTTGCAAAAGTATCTATCATTGTAGTTAATCAAATAAGGAAATAAATACTGCCCTATTAGGGTCGCTATCTACATTAAATAGAGCATATTTTAGTGTTGTTAAACGGCTCGATTTGAGCCAATTTTTAAAAATATTGCTAAAGTTTCGAGATTTCCTTAAAAGATGTCCAAATCTTTGTGCCATCTATGAGCAAAACTTCAGACTTGCGTAATATTTTTCTGGATAAAATATAGACTTAGCCGTCTTTAAAAATTGGCTCATTAGCTGTTTAACAAGACTAGTCTATTTTATACCCCCCCCCCAATACATACACTCCACTTTAGAAGGATTTAACTATATAAATATATTGATTAAAAATTTTACTCATCGTATTCATTGGATTCCCATGCGTTCATTATGCTCGTCAACAAATCGTTTTCGGTTAAAAGCTGGTGGTGTAGTTCAAAATAAATTTTAAAAATTTATTTTAAATAGTTATTTAATTCATTTTCCTTTAACTTTCTTTTTCCTTCACACCAAACAAGGTTTTAACTTACTCGTCACATTTTGTTATAAAATATATCATTTTAATAAATAATAAAATGACCTGCTTTAGTATTAAGTAATTCGGGTTATAGGTCGACCCGCCGTAGACTTCTCGATAAAATTTGTCGCTAGTTCTACTAGTAGAATTATTACCATCCCCGTGTTTCCCGTTGGGAGCGTTAACGGGGAGCTTTGTGGGGTTAGGCGAAGTAAAATTATTGTTTAAAATATTAATATCGGGAGGGGACACTTTGTTGGGTGGTCGGGATATATTTTGATACAGAGTTTTCACCAGTTCCGTGGTTTGGTTGTGGATTAAGGAGTTATCCGGGAATTGGAAGAATAGCTCCTAGAAATAAATTTAAAAATGTATTTTAAAGGGTATATCATATTCAGACGTAATGTCCCTTGTGACTTACAAATAGTAGACCAAATTTAGTTAAAAGGGTAAGTAATGATATGGAGCTTTAAGACATTAGCCAGAGGTGACATTAGGAATAAGTAAACGAATATGAATAGACAGCTCAAGAATATAAAGACTACCCTTGTTCCATATTTTTTACTCATCCGTTTGTTTCAATCAAAAAATAATTTGTAACGAGGATGGGAGGAGGAGGGGGGAGGGATTAAAAAAAGTTCGCATTGGACGAATTTAGAGCCTCAAATACAACATAATAAATCAACGCGCATTACTTTATATATCAAAATTTTAAAAATAAATGGAAATAATGATAAATGACACTAAATTTACCATGATCAACCCCATGATATTCGTTTCCAATACACGATTAAGCAAGGTTACATCATTTGAATAAGTGTAAACCCCGATGATTTGTAGCAACAAAAATCTGATCTGGCCTACTCCAGGAACATTGGGATTATTGAGATTCTTTGAGTGAAAGGATGAAACAAGATTCTGAATAGGCGATGATGGGCTATTATACGAGTTGAGTGACAGAAAGGGATCACTATTTTGCTTATTAAAACAATTTTTTTTCATAACATAAAATTAAATCATTATTGATTGATAATGGGCATAAACTCATAAATATAAAATATTGAAATTTTAACAAAATCAGGTAATCTTATTGGGTCAATTGCAACCAAATTTAAAAATAACCATAATATAAAGATATCAGATATAGAAATAGTGAGTATTTTCATTATTTCTGATTATATTTTAATTTGCATTGTGCATTTCATTTCATTTTTTCCAACCCCCTTCCCATTCTTAGTGACGATTCTATGGTGCATCTGTTTTTTGGAATGGAATTACATATATTCGAAATTAAATCACCTATGTAATAAATTTTAAACATTGCCAAAACATTATTTCGCATATTCATCAAATATAATGAAAAACTCACTATTAGTGAACGAAATTTCCTTTCCTACATTGAGTTCATTATAAATATACATTTAAAAAAATTTAGAAGGTTAAAAAAGGAAGGGGGGGGGGGATTAATATACAATTATGGAAATGCAAAACATCACTTATTTATATTGGGGGGGGGGTTATTATTTCAAAATCATGTTTCAAAAAAGTCTTAGTCTAAGGCGATACCAGAGAATTCTATCGTTTAAGAAATTAAGCGTTTGGTAGTGAATATATATAAAAAATATTGACACTATAGAACATTAGTTATAAATTATACAGGGTAGTTTTAAATAAACCTATTATTTTAAAAAAGTGACGAAGCGTCAAGTTTACTACTAGGGAAGCAATCGAAATTTTTTTTATTATTTTTATTTATTAGTCAAACCATAAAGAAATTATAAAATAAGTAAAATTCGTCTTTGTTTTTGAGTAAAATGATCAAGTACTGAATTATAAAAGTTATTGCTAGATTTTAAATTTAATAAATTTTTTTTCAATCGAAATCAAAAATAAAATAGATTTAAAATTTTTACATTAAACTTATAATTTATTCATTAAGAGTTAATGGAATATCTATAAAATTATTTTACAAAATTCTAAATAAATTTATTTGCTTAAAATAATTTTGTGCACCAATGGTATTGTTTATAATTAATGGGCGTCCTGGCTAAGCAAGAATTTATAAATTTCTTTACATGATAAAAATATCCATCACAATCTTGAAATAATATCTATAGATATAAATGGGAAAAAAATAATATTTATAACTTTTTTTATATATAAGTTTTAATATCTTCATAATATATATTTATTAATTTAAAATTTGCACTTAAATATTTTTATTTTTTAGATAAAAAAAAGCGTTAAATAAAAGTATAACAAAATGTATCTTTAAAAGTATCTAAAAACAGATACCGATACATCTAAAATAGTATATATATATATAGATACAGATACTTTTTTACAACTCTGATGTTCTTAGTAAATTTTCAATAATATAAATACAATTGTTAAACATTTATTATTGCTTTTAAAAAAGAAAAAATTTTTTATTAAAAAAAACCAAAGAAAAAAATATATATTTTTAAAAAAAAATTTATTTATTAAAAAAAACGTAAAATAACACAATATATTCGCCTGATTTTCACTTTATTTATTAAAAAATAAGCGATATTAAATTTTCTTTCCCTCGTGTATATTTTTTTTAAAGGAGTAAATATAATAGTAAATTTTTTAACGTAGTAAAAATCATTTTTTAACATATTAAAAATAATAATAATTCTTCTTACCGTAGTAAAAATAATATTTATATTTTTAACGTTATAAAAATTATATTAATTTTCTTTTTAACGAAGTCAGATTAGTTTTTTTTAAAAAGATTACATTAATTTTATTTAAGAATTTTGTAGAAGGGATGCAATGCTTCCCTTGTTTCTATGGAAGCTTCGTTACTGCTATAAAATATCAAAATTATTTAGGATTATTATAACTAGTAAGCAGGCGATAAATCTTAACATAAAAAATGCTAGAAATATTCAAATTTTGATAAACTATATTTTAACAACACTAGAATTATGAGATAAAACAGTAGAACACTAACCTAAGCCTTATGATTTTAAATTAAATACTTTTCAAATTCAGACATGAATATATATTTATTATTTTGAATAAGTGATATTTCGCATTATAAGTATAACTTAGGATGCAATTTGTTTAATAACAATTTGATTTATCTTATATAATTTTTTTTTCTTATAGTTTATTTGAAAGTCTGGAATCGTTATATTTTGTTTTCTTATGCAAGGATTCAATTTCTAAGATAAATCATATAAAAAATTTGGTTAATTAGTCCGTTTCCAAGTAACAACAGAAATATATTTTTTAAAAAAAAAATGTAATAAATAATAATTTAATGGATTTTTTGTTTTTAAAAAAAACGGTGTTTTTTTTTATTTATTACAGTATATGAAGGCGGAATATTATTTAGCAAATATGAGTAAAATTTAGGTATCGTTTCGACTATGAGTGGGTCGCCAAGGTTAACGCGATTCTTGGTTGGATCAACTTTTTAAAAAATAAAAAAGTTTATGTTTAAATTTTTAAAATGATATTGATATATATATATATATATATATAATAAAATGATTGAAGAATTGGCTGAGTATAGCAGATAGCAGGCCAAGGATATATTAGTAATCTTAATATGTCTAACATGCTAAAATCCAAGAATCAATAATTGAACCAATAAGCATTAGGTCTCCGCACAATAAATCATTCAAAAATAAATTCTAACTTTCCCTGGAACACTATTGTACATTAGAAATGATAACTATGTGATATATGATACACTTTCAAAAGATATACAAAATTAAAATTTACCATCTAAACTATGGTTTTCTTTGGTGATATTTAGACTATTATCAACACTATCAGTGGGTAAGGGTTGTTTGGAATATGGGGTCGAGTCGATATGGTTAAAAGATTCCAAGTTTTCGGTGATTGAATCTAAGGATTCATCTATCGAAGGTTACAAATAAATTATTTTTGTTTAAATTTTAATTTTCTGCCTTATAATATATGACCTTATAAACTTTTTTAAATCTATATATTTGATTTTTTTTTAAATGAATTCTTAATATACAAATTATCACATTTGCAGCCTAATGGGGTAGGATAAATTAATTAACCTTTAGAATCGTTAAAATTCTGAGCAGTAAAGGAATCATCTGTCCCAGTAGGATCGCAAATAAAGGATTGGTCGTTTTCATTCGATACATTGTATGTACCAGCACTAGTTTCCCTAAGAGAGAGAAATAATTTGAAGAATATCAAATCAAATATTAGGTGAAAAAATAGATGGTTGGCATTAATAGTCTTGATAAAAACTCCAATTCTGGTCATTGAAAAAGACCCCATTTAAAATTATTGCCAAAATAATATGATGAAACCCTGGAAATGGTCATAGATGGGAGAAAGGTTCAAACATCTATTTTCCAAATCTCAAGGCTTACATAATTTTAACTAAGAATTTTTAGTAATATCATAATTTTTTAAAAGTATCTGTGGTCAGTATCAGTTGATATCTTATCAATGAAATAGGTGGTATTTCATCTCTTTATAATTTTTTATTAAGTCAATTTATATAAAACAATTCCTCTCTTTCAAAAAACGTATCCTATTGAATTTCAAAAAAAAATTTAAAAAATAATTCTATTTGCTTATTCTTTGATATATTATGAAATCAAATAATTTTTATTTTTCAAATTCAATAATAAAAATAAATTATTAAAATAATATATAGGATTAATAAATTATATGAATAAAGAATCAAAACAAATTAATTTATATAATTTTGTTTATATAAAAAATATAATTTTTAAATAGTAAATTACCATAATTTAACCAATTACCTTTAACTATGTAAAGATATTGTAAAATAAATATAGGACATAGTTTGGTTCAGTTCAAGATCAGTCCAGTCCTGGTTATTAGCCTTTATAGTAATACTGAACCAAAGTGTGAACCTTAATTAATTGAAATATAAACTTTTGATTATAAGAAGGGCTGTGATGATCCACTAGATATTCCACCAGTAGCAGAAGTATCCTTAAAGCACTCATTATTGAACCTTTTATATCAATGTAAGGCTTAAGACACTGATCTGAATGAGCTGGGAAAGTATAGTTCAGCAAGGTTGAAATGGATTTACTTCTTTATATTATTTTATTTTGTGAACAAAAATAATTAAAAAATTGAAATAATTTATTTTAATTGAGGTTATCTGATAGAATGTTTGCCAGACAATTTGAAAGTAAAAATCTAGACAGATAATTTTTTTGACATTTAGCAGCATATAAGTAAATATATTTATGTTTCTTTGGCTCTAAAAATCTTATACTTACACTATTTCTAATTTTGTGCTCTATTTTTGTTATTCTATCTTTCAAAATGTATAATATCAAAAAAAAACAATAGATCAATGCTATATTTGCATTAAAATGTGAATTTTAAAAAATGACATAGATAAATTTTGCATTTAATTTACGATAGCATGTCATTAACAAGGGGCATGTTTTCTTCAGGAAAATTTCCAGGCTGAAGATATTCGTAGGTAGTAGAATATTTGAATATTTCACTAAATATCATATATACACTGTCATGGGTCTTAAAAATAGTGGGTTTATGTATATTTAGAATGTATTTTACCAATTCATCATACATATATGGATCAAGGTAGCTGAATAAATCTTCTACATAGTTTTGAGATACAAACCACTAGATATAAGGTATTCATAATATGCATATTTTTTTATAATAAAACTTTTGAATATTGAACTAAATTTTTTTCAGTTTCTAATTTGGATGCTAAATGAGTTATTAATTCATTGTGTGAGGATAAATTTAAATGCTTGTTCAAATTATTTATAAAATCAGGTTTTTTTGAGATGAAATATGCAAGCATCTTAAAAAAAATATATATTCTTATAAAAAACAATTATATAGTAATCTTACCCTTTCTGGAGAACGGGAAACTATATGTGTTAATAACCTTGTGACAGATTGTGCAATTTTTTGGTCTGGTAATGTATTGTATTCATTTTCATTGTACATATTATGGTTTTCAAAGTCATAATAATTTAAAATTTTATCAAGGAGGTTTGTATCATTTATTAAACCCATATATATTGAAGAATTATCTGATGTAAGAATTTCACATGATATTTTAGATTGTCTAATATAAATTTGATGGTTTATGGAATGATTATAAAATCGAATTACTCATATAAGAATTCTTCTTCCTTGTTTAAAGCAGAATTGTTTCCTGATATGGTATCCTGTTCTTGGGAGATATATTTCAATGGTGATGTTAATAATAAATCAACTAATTGATGTAAATTCTCAGGTTTATGAAGGCTAGATGTGTTTAATAATATTCAATTATTTTTGGTTAAAATTGTAAAATAAAAATAATTATAGTAAAATGTTTACAAGTTAACAAGTTTTGTGCATTGAGCTTTACATTCTTGTATCAAATCATCTTCTTTAATAATTTCATTTAATGTGAGATCCTTAAATTATTGGGATATTAAATATATTTTATAAAAAGTATCAACTTCTTTATCTAATAAATTGAATAAGGTAGAGTCTCCAGCTCCCAAATTTATTTGCCAAAACATTATAACTAATAAATAATTTTCATATATTTATAAATTTATTTTTTTACCTCAAGAGCCCAGATATAGGGGCGCAATAGATAATCTAAACTAAAAAAATATTTAAAAACATTTTATTTATATCTAATCTTATGAAAAAATTATATATAATTAATTTACTATTAATACTTGCATATTTATGAGGTTTGTATTTTCGCCAACTGACTCTTTTTAGGTTATTTGCAATAATATGCGCGACGTTTATTAACACGAGTAGTGCCCAAATTGATTAGATTTATAAAAAAACTTAATTAACTATAGCTGTAAGAAAAATATTCGCACATATAACTTTTTAAATTTCTTAATACTATCATAAAATATAATAAATGATCCCTATTAAGTTATATAACTAATATTCTTAACATAAGCATGGAGGAGGAACAAAGGGAAATATCCCTCCTTCAAAAAAATTCTTTTTCTAATAAAAATTTCCCCCTTACACTCTCTCACCCCTCTACTCCAAAATGTATACAGCAGTGGCGTAGCTAGGAATTTTTCTTAGAGGAGGTCCATACATATAAAAGCCTGGGGGTTTCGCCCCCCAGGCCCCCTTTAAGGGGCCTTCGGCCCTTTTCCCCGCCCTTCGGCCGGGTTAATCTTACAAATCATAACCATATCTTCTATAATATATAATAAATATATTTTTTAAATGCATCAATATGTTATTATAATTTAGTAGATTATTCTCAATGACTTTATAATAATACTATCCAGAATAATTTCTATAGTAATATAATATCCTTCCACAAACATCAAAACAGAAAAATACAAATACTAATGGCATTTATTTAATATAAAGTCACTTTTAAGTCTTTTGAACTTATAATCTGGAAAAAAGATTTAGCTTGGGAGGGGTCCAAACCCGAAAACCACCCCCGTGGCTACGCCACTGGTATACAGTATGTCACCATAAACAAAAATTTGAAAAAGATAAGTAAAAGATAAACATTTTAAAATTATTACTTTAATTCGCATGTTTAAATAAAAGAACTTATATAAAAATAAAAAGCTATACACGAAGATTTTTTTTAAATTAAACATGGTAAAAGGCCAGCAGTATGTTAACTTAAAATGTCTGATAAGGTTTATGAAATAAAAACCAATCTAGTAGCTCCCATCCCCTTATGGCAGTCCTGGCCATGCCCATGATTCTTAATTTTTTTATAAATAATTACCACTCAGAGACATAACATATTCTAGCAATAATACTAAAAGGCCCGATTAAAATTTCAGCCAAAATGATATTTAGTAATCGAGATTTGACATATATAAATCCAATTATTTCTGTAACAAGTTAAATGAAAAAGATTGAGTGTAGTGTTAATATAATAAAAGCACGTCATCAATCTCAATAAGCAATAGCATTAATTAGCCAAAATTGGTGTAATGCCACAATTAGGAAGAGTATCTTGAGCGCAGCCAGTCAATTTTATAATAGTTTTTATACACCTATACCGGAGTTAGAATTCCTTGAATACTTGTATATAAGATACAAGATACAAGATACAAGATCTTTTTATTTTGTATTCAGTGTCTTTTGGACATTTTTAATAAGATAGTAATATCTGTATCTAAAATCTAAAATATATAAGATTCTTTTTAGTATTCATGGCTAAAAAATTTAGACATCACATAATATGTATAACCTTATTTTTTACGTTCCTTATTTTCTTTTCGCCATTTTTTAAATATTTTGACAACCAAAATTAACTGGAAAATTTACATCTCATATATAGTTAGATAGAGAGATAAAAAATGATAGTTTGGGAAAAGGTTCTGGGAAAATATTTTCCTGATGATAAAAATTATAAGGCTATTTGACAACATTATCACATCCATATTTTAAGAACTTATGGATTGAATAGAATGTTAAAAAAAATATATTAATATATATTATTAATAGAAACCCTAAATGTAAGCTCAAACTATAATACAAATTTTATTTAAAATCCAATAAAGATGATGATTATTTTTCTTTTGGTGAAACAAATGTTGCTGTGCTTAATAATACATTTAGCATCAGGGGCTTCATTAGCCTTTGCAACCTGGCTCAACTATGCCCTTCGATCCGCTTTTGTCCGCCTTTGGCCATATTTTATATTAATATTTTTTACTTTTTAATTGAAATTTGCCAATTCTGAACAATTAATTCTTAGCAACCTTAATTGACAAAATGTCATGAAATTAATATAACGTTGTGTAACCATTTTAGACAATGTTTTATAGAAAGGACTAATAAGGAAAAATTTGTAGGTCATGCCATATAAATAATTCTAGAAGAAAAAAATAAACGACTAGTCCAATTAAAAAACTGTATCTCTTAGATGTTATAAAAACTAGATAAGTAATAGAAAATTATTGTGAGATATTAAATTTCTAAAAGATTATCTTCCATTTTTAATGATATATAAATGACTTAACAGTAGATCATTGTTACTTATCAAAATCATGCAATCAAATGCTCTCTTGATGGAATAATAATATTAAATTACATAGCCACACAAATAATAGATGCTGGTTAATTTATAGTCATAGCTATGACACTCCCGGTGTAAATTCATATCAGTGTTTATTATGTTAGATAAATTGATAAAGTAAAGCACTAAAAATCTTTAGAAGAAAAATTATGCAAATATATTGTAGATATGGGTTATTAACACTAGGATGCCATATAAGAAATGAATCATTTAGTGTGATATGATGAAAGCAATTAAGATTTTATGTATTATTATCGCACCACCTCTAGTTGGTATATTATGTCTTAAAATAATAGTAGTTTGTAATAATATCAATATACTCGTAATGGAAATTTAACTCAAACCTGTTTTTCAAAGAATAAAAAATTAATTTTACTTACAAAATTATTACACAACCCAAGAATAAAACTTATTATACATATAAAATCAGGAATATTACAAATATAGTTTCACAAAATAGAATTTAAATTAATGGATTAAACAAATAATAATTTTAACTTTGAAATTTGGCGCAAATAAACTAAAATTTATTCGAGATACTATCTGTCAACGATTCTTTTTCAATTTACATCAATAAAAATGTCTCTAATATATCACATTTTATGTTGCCTTCAGCCTATTTTTTATAATTTTTAATTTATTAAACGTTCATTTCTTCCATATAATATGATATGGAATAACCAACTATTTTTTTATGTACAGCTGACTTAACTGTTTAACGGTAACTGTTAAATTTTATTGCCAACTCTGGTTGTATGCATATTATAGCGTCAAAATATTTTATAGACACTTATCATTGATAACAGAGTTCTCATTATCTTGTATCATTTTATTTTCGTTTATTAGACTCCTCACTATCACAAATTATATTATCAGTATTTTGATTAATCCCACTATTAAATTTAAAAAAAGGTCATGTAATAATTTGTCACTAAATACATTTCAATTGTGAAGCTTTCTACTAGACTTTTCACAAATTTCATTGATATTTATTTCATCAATTGGTGTCGGATTATTGCCTATACGTTATTAGATCTTTACTCATCGAAAGAACTCGGTCAAAATATAGTTTGATCAATTATAAGAAAATTTCATCGTACATATGGGGCAGAGGTCAATCGTAACTTAGGGTGTTCATCACTGAACATTCTCCTTATTCACTTTTTTAACATTTTATTTAAATTTGTAGATATGTTATTATCTTTATTTTGAATGGATTGGGTGGAAGATACAGAATGACATCCATAATCATTTTCTAAGCTGATAAAATATCTAAAATTTTAGTTGAGGATATAATGAGAGCTAATTCAAAAAAATTAGAGCGGATTTAAGAATTATAATTTGAAGATTCTCAATCAAATTAAGTTCCTCGCTCATAACGGTCAGAAGAAAGGACTTTTCAGGGGTTTTCACTTATGTACCACCATGTTTCACTTGTTATTTAGAACCTTCGCAGCTTATTTACTTGTCAAAATCGGATGGTGTCTTATGTAGTATAATATTTTCAACTTTAAGCATAATTGCTTGCCACCTATCTCTTCTATTATATTTCTCATTTTACCTATACATTAAAAATTTTATTAAGGGTTGTCTTTGACAATTATTTATTAGAGAATTTTCCCTTGGATTTTGATTTATCAAACATTTCAGTTTTTACTTTTCTTCGTTTGCTACTAAAAATAGCCTTCACTAAGTGGTGTTTGAGTTTTAATCATTTTTAGTAGTGTTGTTAAACGACTCATTTTGAGCCGATTTTTCAAAACGGCTCTATATTTTCGATAAAAAAATATTGCCTAAGCCTCGAGATTTCGATAATAAATACCTAGACCTTTGTTCCTTCCAGTGTTTACATGAGCGGGAGGTGTAGGAACATTTGCATCCTATTTTTTTGAGGGAGTAAGGGGTAAGCTGCTTTAATGGGGGTAGGATAAATATTTTGTCAGGTTATCTATTAAATTTTGAGATAAAATAGGACAAAATTTAATGCTTTAAAAATTAATACTTTTATTATAGTATTATTATAATACAATTCATCGACCAAATCTATATATTGCAAACAATCATACACATTGTTTTCCAAATAAACTATCCTTTTAAATGTAATTTAAAAGGTTTAGATATTTCAGCAAAGCTCATAATAATTAATTCATTGTAAATAATGGAGGTTTTAATTGAATTTATTATTTAAAAAATAAATTCTTTATATTCACAAAATATCGATAGTTGGTAGAAGAGATAGATTAATTTAAGTTAACCTTTATTTATTCTTTGAAAAGAGTATCAATAAATAAATACGTGAAAATAATAATAAAGATACACCGCCATCGGAGGCGGTGTAAATTTTTTAGGGGGGTAGGCAAAGGTTTTTGAAGGGGGTTTGCATCCATTAAAAATCTTGTCATATAGACGCTGGTTCCTTCTATGAGCAAAATGTTCAGGCTTGCTTAATATTTTTCTGGGTAAAATATTGAGTTAGACGTTAAAAATCGGCTCAAAACTAGCCGTTTAACAACAATAATAGATATAATTCGTAACATCTCAAGGAAATTCCCATGATTTAAATTTCCATTATTACGATTAACAAGTATTTCATTGTGATTTGGTAGTATAAGTTTTTACCTAAAAACTTTAATATCTAAAATATTTGTTTTGAACATGGATATTATTGCGAATCGGCTTTTTACCTAAAAACTTTATTATCTCAAATATTTGTTTTGAACATGGATATTATTGCGAATCGGCTTAATTTTTCATTTAATATTTTAAAGCTAATTGAATTCTATTTCTATAATGAATAATTACAAAATAATATATAAAAATGTAAATTAATCAAAACTTTACTTTAATTCAAACGGAAATACCTTTTTTTTTAATGTAAAACCCCATAAAAATAAGCAATATCTAAATGATAAACCAGAAGATATGATAGATATTCTAAATTATAAAATATAAATAACTTTCAATATATAAAATATATGAATTTGAAAAAAGAAAAGTCATAACTAACAAAAATAATGTGTAATTTATTTTCTGATTGGCCTCGAAAATTGACATTTATGGGCACCCTCTTCCGCAAATGCCCGATTGGTCTTATGGCCCGTTGGCTCCACGTTCCTCTGTTTGTATTCGATTATTCGAATGGAATAATTTTGTTTTTCGTATTAATAAAATAAATAAATTATAAAATGGATACGTCCAAAGTTGACTTCAACTAATAAACCTAGTAATTATTTTTCAATTTAGGACCAGATACAAAAAGACTATCTTTTTTAAAAACAAGCAAGCCCGATCAGTGCTTTATTCTAAAATATTTAGATAATTCACGAATCTAATCATTCCCAAACATAATCTATATAAGATATTTACGCCATTTACACAATTGAATAGGCACATTAACCAAATGCTTGGTGCTTATCAAAATAATATATACATTTTATTTGTCATTATACAATAATTTGTCGTAGTCAATGTCATGATTTTACAAAGTTATATATATATTCAATAATAATAAAAAAGTTTTTTTTATATAATATAATAGAAAATAGATGTATAATAATAATTATAATATATGACCAAAAATACATGAAAAAAATATAGATAAAAGAAGTTATGATATATTTTTTATATTAAAAAAAATATAGTTGAAAACAACATAAAACTCTTTTTAAAGTTTTTTTAAAAATATGAAGCTTAATTAAAGGTTATCAAAAATAATAACTCATTTATGTACAAACTGAATATAAAAAATATTGTATGTATTTATAAGCATTTTAACCAATGATCCGCTTCTAATAGGAGGCCACAAGATAGTAACTAAAATATTTATAAATATAGTCAATGTAAGTATAAAATACAAAATAATTTAAATGAATAATTACTAAAAAGCTGGCAAAAAAAACGGAAAAATATTATCACAAATTATGATATGTTAGTTTCATTTTCCCAATAATGACAATAAAATAACGATTCATTATGGCAAATAAACAAAATAATTTATGATTTTAGTAATTAGATGAATATAATTTATATTTCATTTTTTTTAAAATTTATTAAAAATATGTTTGGAATGTGTTTGGGGGGGGGGGGGGGGGGGAATTAATTTTGCAATTGATTCTTAAAAATTTTGTAAAAAAAATATAAAGTAAGTATGATTTATTTAATAATTTTTTTTAAAAAAAATAAATGACTATCATATGGCTTAAATTTATTCGTGGAATGAAGAAGTTATTAGGGGTAAAAAAAATTTATAAATATTTATTTTCATGAATTCGACAACAAAAAAAAATTCGCCTGAAAGCAAAAAATATATATATATTATAAAAAAAGTAGGAAAATGGATGGATGGAAAATAAACATCCGAAATGTGCAAAAATAATTTGAGCGAATCGAAATATAATAATTATATAGATCTTAGCAGCGAGGGTTCAAGACGTTGGGTCGTTATTTAAAAAATCTATGCTTTTTTGGTTTTTAAAGTGTAAATTATGATTTTTTTTTAAAAAAAATAAATAGTGATATTTCACGAATTCGGATAAAGGGTGAAATGTACAAAAATAATTAACCTTAACTAACTATACAATTTCTAAAACTCAGAAAATTCGAAAAATTCGTTTACAAAACTGATATTATTGATCATTTATACAAAGGTTGCCAATGACGCCGTACCTTCCCTACCTCCACCAGCTATATTTTCATTTTTGCCAATATTTCCGTTAGTGACATTCGAATTTTTTCCCTTGCCGTATTGGCCTATGAAGGATCCGTCTTCGTCAAATTTACCGGTTTCGAGATCGGCGTAATATTCTGCCAAGCTATCTGACTCGCTTTCTTCCGGACCGGATCTAAACCGAGAACCGGGCATCTTGCCAGGTTTACTATCAGGGTCAGATCGGTTTTGATTGAAGGGAGTTCTTTCGTCCCTGTAAAAAAATGTGTGAATGTTTGATATTTCAAAAACATTTGCCGATATATTTAAATTTTTTTTACTTATTATATTCATCGAAACCAGATTCGTTAGGGTTATCCGGATCTAAACCTTTTGCTCTTTCTTTCTCGTGGACTAAAAAAAAAATTGAAATAATAATTAATAGAATTGAGAGAAAAAAAAATTAATACGTATATATAGCAAATAGTTGTCAATGGCTAAAATTTGACTCAATCTATAATGGGCGTATTCTCTAATAAAAAAAAATCAAGTTGATAAAATATTAAGTTTAGCCATTTATTTCGGCAAGCTAAAAATAGAGCAATCACCTGAACTATACAAAGTATTCCGTAATTCCTAGCTATCTTTTAAAATTAATGTAATAATTTTATAATATTCAAGTCACCGATAAATTGATGGAAGGATAATAAATTCTTTATCTAAATCAAAAATTCCATATCTTTTGATTTAAATCATCATTAAAATAAAACTTTAAAACATCCCTTTTTAAAATTTCTATAATTAATTCTAACGCGGCAATAATATAAATCAAATATTATGCTTACCAGGATATTTGCCACCCCTGTTACGTCTTACCAAGCATATGATGATCATGATGAGAAGCAAAATGGCTAACGCGCACATGAGCCCCACGAACCAACCAGCTGTCGCTATACTTTCCTCTCCTGAATAAGAGTAAAACAATGTTAAAAAAAAGAGTTAATGATTTTATGTTTTCGTCTAAATTTATATTATATTTTTTTAATATTATCGACTGACTATATGTCCAACGCTGTTTTTTTTTTAAAAAAAAAACTTTTATTTTTTGTTATCTCTATAAATCTATTTTATATAAAAAAAAGTGTCCTGCCTTACAGTTACATCAAAAATAGATTAGAGCTAAGGAAAAGTTATTTCTTATTTGAACGTAAGGCAAAATAAATTTTGTAAACGAAATAAAACAGGGCTTTAAACCAAAAAATAACGATAGATGATTCATGTTCGATTCATAAAAAATAAAAAAATCGCTATGGTTTTATCTGTAACGTGTGAAAGTGATTACCGTGAGATTTCGAATTCTCACACCATCAAAATCTCACGGCTGACACCGTGTGAAAGTGATTTCATGAGATTTTGATTTTTATCGCTTCAAATACATTGGGGGCCATTTAAATTATCAAAATCTCACGGCTATTTAATATTTCAAAATCTCATGGATTTTTTCAAAATCTCATAGATATTTTTAAAATCTCGCATTATTAATTTAAATATACTTTTAAAACGTCAGATTTGAATGAAGCTGTCAAATTAGAAATATTTCTATATAATACAATTTAATTTGAAATTCTTTTTTATTATGAAGTAAATTTTTAACAATATATTATTTATTTCAGAAATATTTTAGCTCAAATTATAATGATATATATGACTTCATAAATAGAAAATCAATTATTCTATGGGGAAAGTAAATTTTAGATATGTCATGATTAATTTATTAAAATTAGCCATTATAAGTTTAATGCAATATATTATTTTTTAACATTGAAAAATGCTCAGGCCATTGATTATTATCTTTTTTTCATCTAAAATTAATTATAGCTGCAAATGTAAGTGTATATATATATATATATGTAAGAACATTTGATAAAATTTTACATATAGGCATTATTAAATGCTATTTTACAACTAAAATTTAATTTAGATTATCACATAAAGAGGAAAAGTAAATGTTAGATACTTTTATTATAATGTATATTGGGCTTATAGATGATTGCATAATTAATTTATTAAAGTTAGGTATTATAATATATACAACTAAAATTGTATGACAAAATTAAGTGCAGTTTATTATTCTAGCCATTGATTATATATATTTTTTCTGCATCACAAATATTATAATATATATAATTTAATGATTTTAGAAGAAAGAAAAGTTATACTGACAGGAGATGAACAAAAAAAAATAATTAAAACAATACATGAGGGGGGTGTATCTACAGTTGCAGGTATTGCTATGGGAGGGCATCTGGGGATTAATAAAACTAATCAAATAATAGCTAAGTAAAAATTTGCAATATTCTTTTAATTATTTTTTTTAAGCTTTTATTGGTTGGGGAGCAATAAAAGTGTTTTATCAAATCCTGTGAGGTTTGTCAAAAATCAAGCAGTCATTTTGATAAAACCTCAAATGTTTTACATATATTTGATTTATTTTTTAATTTATTACATATACAGAATTGGATGATGATATTTTGATAATAAATAAATTAGAAAATATCCCTAGATATTTTTTTCCTACAACAAAGGTATGGAAAAAATATCATGCTAAAATATATGGTCTAAAGCCTCCCAAACGTTGTCGGGATGTAGAATGTAGACTATGGGAAACAACTTGGTGAACCCACCATCCTGGTGCAAATTGAAGGTGATGGGAATATTTTTTATAGGTAAAACATATTAATATAAAATTTCATTTTATTCTACTTTATATAATTTAGGGCGATTAGTGTAGAGCTTACTGGAGCTCAAAATTCCCATGTCATTCTCAGGCAATGGTTGGCACAATTTACGCTAACATCCAAGATGGGAAAGGTAATTAAAAATTATCTTTACAACACGAACAAAAAAATAGACATAAAAACTTATGTCTTAAATAATGTAATGACACAGCAGATATGGGCTTCTGACACAGAAGTCAGGGGGATGGCCACAATGTTAAATACGGCTATTTTTACTTATATAAAATATAATGATAATTTTGTATGGGCCCGATATGACCCATTTTATATTCGCGACAATATTAAAATATTTAAAAATAATTTTATTTATATAAAAAATGGGGGGAGTCATTTTGAAAATGTTTTAGATTGTGATTTATCTTCCATCTAATCACTATTTATTATTTTTATTAAAAACAATTTTTTATATAAAAATATATAAATATATTTCATTCATATTATAATTTATTGCCTTATATATATATTTTTTATGAAAGTTGTAGTTTATAAATAATATTCAATTACATTCTGATATGCAATATATGATAATAATTATAGTTTTCCATGATGTTTTTATTAAATTTAAAATTATGTATAAATATTTATATCAATAAAGTTCTTCGTCTATTTTCTTATACCAAATAAAGTTTTATCTAATATTTGTGACCCAATTCAGTACAAAATAATATAGAAATGGATTATCTTTAAAACATTATATTAGGTAAACAAAATAAGCATTAAGATTAAGCCATTTAGGCTAAGAATTTATCTTACTGTTTCTTTGCAGTGATTTTTAGAGGGTTGGGTAGAAAAGGTGGTTTGCCTCTAGTAAATTTTCTGTCATATATGAGCTTTGTCTAATTAATATCTATCGAGAAGATGTACTTTGTATAAGAAATATCATGGGATCGGAGTATTTGGTTATTTTATAAATTTCATGTTGTGTAAAATAGCATGTTAGTAAGGATCTCTTCCCTACCTAAATATTGCTAAACTTTAATTATGATATTGATTGGAGCCTCCTATCAATAATCTGAACTAAAGGTCTGGATTGGGTGGTTTTTTTGCCCGTACTTAAAAAAAAATATTTTCAACATTGGGCGAGAGGGTTAAAAAATTTGGGAGAATTTGATATTTTTCAGGCGAAATGAGCAGAACAGTAAATAGTTTTTCATAATATTCCATATTATATGTTTAATTAAAAATACATTAAAATAAATAAAGAGCCAAACCAGCCATAAAATAATTTTAAAACAAAATATATATAAAAAAAATTATAAGTGAGAGCGAGGGCAAGATAAATAAATCTTTTCGCTAAAAACCCACCCATTACAGACCTCTAATCTGCATATCTTATCACACACTATTTGGTATGATATGCAGACTAAAAATATAAATTTAAAACTATAGAGAGGCGGCGACTATTTAGATAAGATAGATAAAAAAAAACAATTATAATAAATTTACGCTACATGGATTTGAACCCGCATTTTGAGGATAGGTAATGTAAGTCTTACTAACTAGATTACCCACCACACCTTTTAATTTATAATTTTATTTGTTATATATAATCTACTTTTTAATTAAATTTATATATATCAAAAAGAGAAATTTTATTATATTGTTAACTTTAATGATGTTAAAATAAAGATGAGCTCTTGAAATGAAACAATATATATTTTACAAAGCATTACTAAAATATTATTTTAAAACATAGATTATAATTAAATAGTTAGGTGTGATACCATTATTGTCTCTATATTATATTTTATATCCTTAACTTTAATGATGTTCCTTGATTTTACAGCTCTCATTATTCGACTTAATGATCTTAAAAAAATAAAGATGAGTTCTTAAAATGAAACGATATATATCTTGCAAAGCATTATTAAAATATTATTCTAAAACATAGATTATAATTTAACAGTCAGGTTTTATACCATTATTGTCTCTATATTATATTATCATTTAAATTCATGTCATGAAAATTTTTGCTTTAGATTTATCGCTTCAAAAACATTGGGGGCCATTATCATCAAAATCTCACAACCCATCCGTGTGAAAGTGATTGCGTGAGATTTCGAAATCTCACAGATCACTTTCACACGTTACACCGGGTCTGAGTTCGGTTTGAATCCCTGAAATAGAATACAATAAAAAACCTCCGATTAAATTTTTCGAAAGGGAGCATAACATATTATTAAAAAAGAAGAAAAAAATTAAATTCGCGGCAAAAGTGTTAAAAAAATGGAGATTATTTAAAACTCGATTAATGGGGAGGGGGGGGGTTGGTTTTAAAAGGATCTAATCTAAAGCTCAACGCATACCTGATCATGATGATTTTTTAAAATTTTTACCTAATGCTAATCCTCAACAAGAAGCATAATATTTTGATTTAAGTTATATAATGTTATATATCAAATTCGAATCAATCAAACTAGTAGTGGGAGTCCGGACCTCTTGAACGTCGCTGGGGGTTAGGTGCAAGTCGTTTTGAGCTACTACCCTCATTTGGTAAACAGTGCCAGGTTGCAAATTTTCCAAAACATCCCAATATTTCAAGAATTGATCGTCGCTCCTTTGCCATAAATCGTCGCCTGCAAGGTTGAAAAAAAGTAATATATATTCTTTTAGAGAAAATCAAAATTCTTATAATATTAAAATAAAATAACCTTCAATTTTTCCCAACTAATTACAATTCAGTAAAAAAAAATCATTTTTTTCACCTCAAAATTCGCTACTTTATTGCAATATAATTAAAGATAAGATAAAAAGTAAGCATTTTATTCAATTAATATAATATGAGTGGTAATGTTGTTAAAAACCCGATTTGGGTAAAAATTTTTAAGATTCTAGCTAAAATTAATATTATTGTAAGCATCCAAATTTTGCAAATAGATGCCCAAGCATTTCTGCCAGCTATGAGCAAAATCTTTAGGCTTACATAATGTTATTTTGGTAATAATCTTAATCGAGCCCTTTTTCAAAATCGACCCGAATTGGGCTTTTTAACAATACTCACTGAATGGGAAGTACTAATATACCGATATATTATTAATGATAATAATTGAAATCAATTATCCTTCATTATTTCTTACGTACGTCGAAAATACTTTACCCGAAATTAAGCATAAAAAATTCCTTTTTTTTTCATTCTAACGCTTCCCTAGTATTCAATTTTTAATTTCATCAAATTTTCGATAATCAACTTTAAAAAAAAAAGAATTGAAAAAGTGTTATACCTTTAACCCGATACTGAACGTAAAATAAACTTCCGGGATTGCCAATCGGAGTTCCATCCGATCCAACATCTCCAACAGCTGGAGTCCAGGTAACGTTAACACGTTTGCCTTCTATTCGATTAACACTGAAACTGGGGGCCAGTGGTCGGCCAGATCTAGAAGTTTTTACCTTGATTATTTATTTCATTTTTTTATATATAGTAAATGTTGTTGTGATAATCATCAAATTTATAGATGGAAAATGGTTAAACTTATAAGGACACTCATTCAGTTTAACAATAAAGGCCTATTAATTAGGCTGAAATGTCAATGTGGGCATAAGGGTTAAAACGTAAGAAAACAAACTACTAAGTATAAGTTTTTTAAAAAAAAATATGCATCAACCTCCCTCAAATCAGGCTTCCCCATACCGGCCTGTGTAGTGGCGGCTATCTCAACGCGATATTTGGTATCAGTTTCGAGGCCAGGGATTTTCGCTTCAAGCGTTTTTGGGTCAGTTATAGCAGGCAATTCTTGTGCTGGAGATATTCCCGTATTTATAACTAAAAAAAATTGTGATAAAGAGGAAAAAAAGTAAAGAGTTATTAAAGTGTATAGAGGAATGAAATAACAAAATATTTTTCGATTTCGAAAGATTGCCGGAATTTTAAAATCTAACTAATATTTTAGTTTAGTTTAAAAAAAAATCGCTTAAATAAAATTTTATTTTATTGTAAACTCCATTCCCTAATTTAGTACATAACACCTTTCTAAGGCCGTTTCCTAGGTCGGCTTAATTTGGATACTTGATTCCTTTTTAATATGGGCTAAAAAGTATTTGATCGAGTACATACTATTTTTAGTTTATTTTAAGTATTTAGTGGCAATGCTATTTTTCGTATTCTAATCTCGTTTAGGGCTCTGCGGATCTACAAATTCTTCACCGATCCAATTCCGATATTTATTTTTAAAGTTAATATTTTTATTTAAAATATTTGCAATGTTTATGGGTCAATGTAGTGTTATTAAACAGCTTCATTTACTCGATTAGAAAGGGTCAAATCAAAATTCTAACCAAAATATATTGGCTATGCATAGATATCAATAGAAGTCCACACCTTTCTGATATCTGTGGGAAATCAATAAGCATGGGTAATTTACTCTTGGCTAAAATTTTGAGTTAATCGTTTTTAAAATTGGTAAAATCGAGCCGTTTAGCAGCAACACCAACTAAATGTGACTCGTTAGATTTAAACTATTTTTTTTAAACATTAAAACAAATAAATTGTATATTAGTTCCTTTCATTAATTTATTATTTATAAATTAAAAAAAATTATATAATTATAAAATAACCAAAAACAATAATTAAAAAAAAGATCAGCCCGATCCAATACTTTTTGATAGCGCTATATATGGGTGCCAATCCGATATTATATTGGCACAGCCCTATTCTGGTTTTTTTAATTTTGTTTTTTTCCCCGTTTTTTAAAAAAAATTTTCTTTTGCTATTTGACCGAGAAGGCTAAGCTGACCTAGGTCACGGCCTGAACGATTATTTTTAAAAAAAAACATTAAAAAGGATAAAATTATAAAAAATTTACCCTTGGAATATGAAATATGGTAACCAGTGAGTATGCCATTGGGCTCACTGGGAGCTTCCCATCTCAACTGCAAAGCGTTTGAACCTAAAGCGTAAGCTCGAAAATTTTCCACCATCTCGGGAACTTTCAATGTTCGCGTTAGAAATGAAAAAAAAATAATACTTTTAATATAATTATTATAAAAATTAAGTTGCATCTTCTTTCTTTATTTAAATTCATTAATTTTACATTCCAGAGATTCATCTTTTATAGTTAATACCGGGATTACTATGTAAAAAGCTAAATATTATTTTATTAAATGGAGAGTAAGTAATTTTTCAAACTTCCTTCTGGTGTCTGCAGCCTTATTTCCTGGGACATGGGCCCGTCGTAATAGTTGTTGAACACCCTGATGGCTGCCATGTTGGTGGAAAAAGGTTTGAAAGTTTTAACAACTATGGTGTTTTGATTGGGATCGCTTATTATGGTTTCTCTCGCCTTTTCTAAACCTTCCTGTGGTGTCCATGTTAGGATCTTAAGGCAAAAATAGTATATAATTGATGAATCTAGTCAATCGTAAAATTAAAATTTTAGTTTTGAATACATATTATAAAAAAGATCGTTTTTGGTCCGAACTAATTGAATTATCTATCGGTAAACAATTAATTAAAACTACTACATCAACAATAAAAATTTTATCTTTATATAAATTGTTAGACCAGCAGATTCGGTAAGGCTACGCCATAAGTTAATTTTGTTTGAAACCTGGGTAAAACCGAAAAAAGACCAAATTCTAAAAGATAGGAACGAAAAAATGAAGAAAATTCTTATTATATAACCAGAGACCTGTAGGAGATAAATTTTTCTGCCAGGGTAAGTCCGAATTTATTTATATACCCTTCACCCCACATTTCCAAACTCGGTTTAGTATTGTATTTTTAAATACAAAATTTTAAAGAGACATTGAAAATGTGAGAAGCAAATGAATGACTGAATGTTAAATAATCCATTACGTGATTTTTCAACAAGTTAATTGAATATAATAATTTTAATTCATTTTTTAAAAAAAATTCTGGGTCAGATATGCAATAGCCGGATTTTTATAAAATTATACTATTTAGATTAGGGACGTCTATTGTGGTTAGGGTCTACGGGTCTCTGATACATAATAGAATTTCACGTTAAAACTTTACGTTATACCTATATATATATACATACCTTGAATCCTTTGAATTCTCCGTTCAAAGTTCTACCATTTACTTTCCCCCAAGCAAGTCTAGCAGAGTCAGGCCCGTTGATATCGATTAGCCGGAAATCGGGGACTCCGGATATTGGAACTAGTTCAATATACGATCGATAATAATAAGAAGAATGTACATGAATAATGATTCTTATTTGTATAAAGGCCCATGCATTTTTTTGAAAATAGAAAAATTAGGTCTAAACCAATGATTAAGATTGTGACTCTCTTTTTTTCCCCAAAAAATAAATAGGAACATTAGACAATTATAAAAAAAATTGTCTTTACATTTCATACCTAACTGGTCATAGACTAAGAATATCTATCAATCAAATAGGATAAAAAGCAAGAGAAAAAAAGGAAATCAATAAAAACCAGCTGATTAAAAGGAAATTATTTATCATAGAAAAATGTTTATCAATAAAATTGCGTTAATTACCCTCCCCCACCCCTCCCCCCCCCCAATCTTCTCCAGATTATCCAATAAAAAAGGATGGCTTAGCTAAGGCCAAAAAGAAAAAAGAAGTAATTAAATTTAGATTCCATAATTTTAAACTCTTTTGTTACATATAACTGTAGAACTAATAAATAAAATATATACCATCTTCTCCAGAATATCCTATGACGGGTACCAGAGGTACCTTGGCCTGGCCCAAGTCGTTGACAGACGTGACGCTAATCTCGTAAGGCGTATATGTGGGCTGTTTATTAATTGTCAAACTGCCCTGCTCCGCATCCATAACCGAAAATGTATTGAAACCATTCGAGTCTAGGGAATTCGTGTAGGAGGGCGAAGTAATGGGGAGCTTGGTCAAAGGATCGAGTTGCCTGTACTTCACCAAGTAGTGAAAACCCGGCCCACCCCTGTCTATCTTGGGCAAAGGCTGTTTCCAGCGTAAAAAAACGTTATAGAGGGGATTAGAGTATTGAAGTAGAATGAGCTTAACAATGGATTTCCCCTTTTCTTAATTACTATACTACTAGTTTAAGAGCAAATAAGTTACTAAATAGCCATTAAAAAAATGTATACGTAAGGTAAATAAAGATAAAATATGTAAACAGAAAATAAAGTATAGTATATATTTACGGTCCAAAAAATATCTAGGCGATCGGGATATCCGCCTCCAGCCTTTACGCCAGTGGGGTTAGCTTCTGGAACATCGGGGGGCGTAGAACAAGGTTTTTTTGTAACGAAAGGCGCGATGTCGGAGGACGTGGCAGAATTAGAAGGGTTCGTGGAAACTGGGCTGAGGCCTTACGAGTATAAATATTAGAATTAGCATAAAAGATGGGAAATGATCATTAAAATATAGAAATACTATCAATAAACTTTTTTCCAATAGCTTATCCTTTGATTATGTAAGCTAAGAATTTGAAACTAAAAGTTACCACCATAAATAGGGAGAGAGAGATTAAATGTGATGATTAATATTTTATTTCTCTCTTCAACACAACATCCGATAAATAAATGTTTAAAAACCCTGATAAGAATCATTTTCAAGAATAATTCGTGTGAAGTATTTCTTTGTAATGGATAATAGGTAGTTCGAAATGAACAAAAACTAATTTAAAAAAAATATATATATACATATATATTAATGCAGATTCACGGTAATTTTTACCAATTTTATTTTCCGCGAGCACTCTAAAAGTGTAATTAACGTAAGGCTTCAATTGGAGAGTGTACTGCCTTTCTCCCGGCGGAACGTGTTCTGGAAAGGTTGTCCAACCATTGTCTAATTCATTGTTCTGGCCTTTAAATATTCGTTGACAAAATAATAAATAGTCATTACGTTCGTTTAATCTTATAAACTATTTATATAATTTCAAGGTACACCTTAAAAGTCTATTTGTGAAATGACTAGGACGAGCTTCTAATCATCAAAATTTAATTTTATATTATTTTATACTGCATATTTTATAAGTTTAAATAAAATAAATAAAGTTCTAAACCAACGGATCAAATAATTATTAAAAATTGACGAGCGGGCCAAATAAACTATCTAAATAAATGGGCAGGAAAGTAAATTTTTAAAAAACCATGGGTATAAATATTTACTTTACAAATATCATTATTATACTACAACACTATAAGAATATTATTGGCAAACTCGAAACATCAATCAAAAAATAGTCAATATATACTCTTTTTGTCGGAGGACGATGGGTTGGGAGAAGTACTATTGTATTGAATTATGAACCTCAATATAGGAGCACTATTATCTCCACCAGGTCTCCAACTCACAGTGGCCGAACGGCTCATACAAGAAAGAAGAGTGACATCTGTTGGCGGATTGGGAACGTCTTCGTAATTTTTTTTTATATTAATAACATAAAAATAAGAATTCATAAATCAATCACATATAAATTTTTATTTTAAAAAGAAAAAATCAAGTTTTAATAAATTTTGTAAAAAAAAGAAGATGTTATTTAACATTATGTGACTAAAAAAAATTATATATCATGAAACACCTTACTTACAACTTAACATGATTCACTATCCAAAAAATAAGGAAATCATATATCGAGCTATAACTCAATCATTATTTATTTATTTTTAAATTCTAAGCTAACCCTGAACTGTAAGGTTAGCGGTAGCCGTGGCACGATCCAACCGCGTGCGCGCAACACATGTATACGAGGCGGTATCAGTCTGCTGGGCATTAGTTATGGTGAGTGAGTTATCTATCGGGCTCTTGAATACCCTTCAAATTGATTAAATTATTTGTAAAACCCATTTAAGAATCCTAATAATCCACAGAGATTTCGGAGGATGATCATTCACAATTTTAATTTAATTATTATATTTTATTTTAAATAACTTAGGAAATAGACCTGTGTAAAATAATGTATCGATGAAAGTTATTAAAGGCTCGATCTATGAATTAAATTTCAAGGGCAAAAATGCGTTAATAATTAAAACCTTTGATTATCTATATCCAGATCGGGAGTCTGGCCTTTTTTGAAAATGCTTTCGTCTCCATACTCGCCATTAGGGAAGTTGTTGTATCTTATATGGTTATAGTCGATAGAATTCTTCGGAAGTTCGGTGGAGAATATGGATTCCCCATTCTTCTCCCAATCTATAATGAGGTCTAGGGAAGGGTCTTGGACTGCAGAACACCTAAAAACTACGGGTTCGCCTATTCTAACCTCTCCGTTTTGGGGCTGGCTCTGAATAATCGTGTGAGCTAAGATTTTCACGAAAAAATGCAAGTTAGATGTTTGCTAAATGAAATGTAAATATATATTTAGCAGGCAATTATAAGTAATGAATGCCAGACCAGATTTAAAATCTGTACCTCATAGTTATACAAATAACGCCCAACTTACATTTAACCACGAGCATCCCGCTGGCCGTCTCGCTCCCGAACTTGTTCCGAGCTGTGCATGTATAGTTACCGGCATCAGAATGAGTGACCTTTTCTATTACGAGCGAACCGAGTCCGTTAATAGATGGCACCCCTTTATTCCCCGTGGAATCGAGGGATGAAGGAAATGAGTCATCTTGAGAGTAACGCCCGCCAGTTATTTCGATCCCGTCCTTGTACCACGTTATTTGAGGGGCGGGGGCTCCGAAGGTGACACAGGTGAGGTTGGCGGAAGCTAAGTCGACCACCTCGAGTAATGATTTGGGGGGAAGTTTGAACACAGGAGGTTCGGCTTTTATAAAAGTTTGTATAATGTTTAAAACATTGAAATATCATAATACCATTTATAACATATTTGAAACCATTCTAGCTTGAACAAAGGTACAATTTTGCCTACCACGAAACAATAGCCTAATAAGTAATAAATATTTGATAACTCTTATTAGTATTTATATCTAAAAAATTGCGAGCCTTTAACTGTTTTCAAACATTTCCATTTAAAAAAAAAAAATTTTTTTAAAGCCTGACCTAAAATATTTAGGAAGGAGTTGGCGAAAATATATCCATGAGTGTTTGAAGCGTTACATTGATAAACACCTATGTCCGCGTCTTTCTTCAAATCTACTATCGTTATCGAATCCCCTTCCACTTTGCGCCTTTCGTTGTAGGCCGATTCTGATTAAAAGTGAAAGAATGTGTAAATGTAAACCATTTCTTTCTAAAACGGTATTTAACTGGGAGCAGTGCTTTCAATAACTATTCTATTATTATATAAAAGTGTACCAGTGATAGGCCTTCCATTAAAGAACCACTGAATTTGAGGCTTAGGAACTCCGTCCGCCTGGCACTTGATGACGTAGGTTTCATCTTCGGCCGCGTTAGCATCTTCCGGTTTTACGGTCCAATATGGAGCGGCTTACATTTTTATTGAAAAAAAAATAAAAATGATAAATTTTCATGTATTTCCCTTGCCCATATTTATTTCTGCTATCCTTAAAAAGAGGCATGCTATTCTTCACCTTGAGATATGTATTCTAACTTTTTTTAAGCCAATACCTCGATATCTTGAAAGTGTAGAACAATATAATAGATATCTTTATTCATTAAAAAAATTTTTAAAAAAATTTGTGTTACATCATGCAAGATTTTTTATGCATGAAAATTAGATAATATTTACTTAATAAATAAATTTTTTCACTATTTGCCATTTTTAGGTAAAATTTGATCTAATATTTATCTTATTTTTTTAAAAAAAACTACAAAATTTTATTCAAACTCTGCTTTTATATTTTGTGTGTCGTGTTTTAAAAAATGCATTTAGCGAGTAAATATTTTTAGAAATCGTTCTCGATATATTTTAGCCTAACCAGAAAATATATTCTATCTTTTTCCAGGGCTGAGAACCTGAACCCTTCGAATCCACCCACCTACTTTACTATAATCTAAAATTTTTAAAAAAAATATTTTTTTAGGGGTTTTAAGGTTCAATTCATTAAAAAAAACATTTTTTTATTTTATTTTGTGAGAAAATTTATACTTTCATTTACTAAACATATTACCACAAATTACAAATCTATTTTTTCAATTGTAATATTTTAATATAATTTACGATGATATATAATATTAAAACTCCGGTTTTTTCTATTATTTTAAATAAATATTATAAATCCTTATTTTTTTATACCCCTAACCCGTTTCATTGAATTCACCCCAAAAAATGAAGGCTTTTACAGTTCCGATAATTTTATTCTTAAATGCAAATGTGATCCCATTATTATTCATACTTTAATGATATGAGAAAAAGAAGATGGAAAAATATTAATTAAATATTATTAAACAAACAATCGGAAAAATTTAAATAATAATTTTGTGAATTTTTTTTTGTATAACAAAAAGAAATTTAAATTTTAGATAATAAATTTCAGCGGGTATCTGCTAAAATGAATAGGTACAAAAAGTATCGATCCTACACAACCTATGCTTCTTGATAATGGTAAAACTTCTTAGGAGTTAAAAATTTAAGGGGGTTTATTTCATTTTGTACATTGAACTTGAACTCTCATGACCCGCTTTTGGTCTTGACCTATACCGTTAGCGGCCCGGCATTCGTAGTCGCCAGCGTCAGAATACTGAATATTTTCGATAATCAAATCGTGAGAAAAACACTCGAAAGTGTGTCTGCCAATGGGTAAATCACCGTCTATACGTCGCCATGTTATTTTTGGGGAGGGGCTTTGGCAAAAAAATATAAAAATTGATACAATAAATGTAAACTTTTATTGTGCTCGTTTTTCCGCAGTCTCGATTTTGCATTCTTTCATTTTTATGATTTGGATAACATATAGAAATTTACTAAACAACTCCCAAATTTTATTAAAACACATATCAACCTTTTTTTTAAATAAACTAACCATAACCCATATATCTCTAATTTTTAACCCTATCTTCTTTCTCAAAATACCGATTTAGAAGTAGTTTTCCAGACAAATGTTTTTTTAAACGAATGAATGTAAAATAGAGGTATAGTGAAAAAGCGATGATAGGTACAATTTTTTCTCGTGCACAAAAAAGACGAGGGAAAAACATCCATCCCAATTAATATTTTAAAATGTTATAAGGTTAAAAATAGATAAATAATGACGATGAAAAATTGTGATTACAATCCACTGTATATGCATCTTAATACGAGGTTTTGAGATCTAAGTGCCAAACTGTTCACCGAAGAAGTCCACATTCTCTCTGGCGGCCTTTTTGGAATGGGATCGCCTGGATTTTAATATTTTTTTTAGTTGTTATGTATAATTTACGTAAACCAAATTAATGCTTAAAATGGATATTTCATAAATTCAAAATCCTTAAACGTTTTAAGTATTTATATTTATAATAATCCGCAAACCTGGGTTGAGCACTTTTATGATTTGGAATTCCCCTTGGTTAAGCGTGTTCAGGGTAGGATTATTCGCCACGCACGTAAAAGGGTTGTTATGACTAAGTTCGTCACGGGCGAATAGTTGGATATCTTCCGACGCGTTGACATAAGCGAAATTCAGGTTTCCGTCCATGTCTTGCATGACTCTGGCCGAACATTTTACCTCTTTGAACTCGTCCTTTTCAAAAAATAAAATAAAATAGCGAATGGTTATGTTGCATAGTAAATATAAAATATCGAGAAGACTTCTTTCGATAGATTCCACTTCCGGTTCGGAAAATTTTTAGAAAAATTCAAAAAGACCTGTTTGCAATTTCCTAGTATTTGAATCATAAAGGGTGTTTGATTCTAAACTTACCAAAATATATTTAATGCAATCTCGAGCAAATTCCGTATAGAAAAAAAAGAAAAAGTGAAATATACTGTGTAGCTTAATTAAGTTCCGCTGATTTCGCTGGCATATCTAATATTTTACATATTAAAAGTTAGAAAAAAGCCCAATAAATAGTATTGTAAAATGAAAGGCGAATCGGATAGATATAGAAGAAAAAAATTAAATATTAAATAGGAATATATTATTTACTTAATTATTTTAAAATCTCCCCTACCCCTTAATATAAATATTTTTTAGTAAATTGTGCTAACCGATATGAGCCAAAAGACGAGTGGTGGTGGGATGCCTTTTGGGGGAAGACAGTTAAGAGTTAGCGGGTCCCCGTTATTGACCGTCATAACGCTCGGTTGAGGCATGTGGGGAAAGGATTCGAGCCCTAAAAAGTAAGCGAAATATATAAAAGTTTGGGGATAAATTATATTACCAAGATATTTTATTCCCTTTTTCCCCTTCTCTTTCTTTCTTTGTCGTATATATTCTAATAAATTAATCTCCCCGGTAAATAATATGCATATTGTACTCTAAAACAAAATTTTAAAGGCAAATATGACCATTCAATTAAAATGTATATTAGATTAATTATTTCCTGAATTCAAATTTTTAAATTATATATTTTTTCATTAAAAAAATATATCGATTTTGTAAATGCACTATATTAGTTGACCGAAAAATTAGTAAAAAGTGAAAAATAAGGCATAGTTAATGTGTAAATAAAAATATGGTATATAACATTTTATGTATGCTGCACAAGTTTTGCCTTTAAAAATGCTAATATGAATGTTTAATACATTTTTTTTCTATAAATAAAATTTTATAAGTTACAATAAAATTTGCAACATTTTTTTTGCCATTACCTATTCATAGCCTAGCATAGTTTTCTAAAGAAATGAACTGTGCGGGGCAAAATGATACAAGTCATTTAAATCTAACACTATCTTAATAAATCGATGACTTATTTAAAAAATATACCATTTAATGAATCTCAATCCTATTAAACATGCAATATTATATAACATATATATGTGATAACATTAATATTTCTCGGGAGAAAAATAAAAATATAATACTACTAGTTTTCACCCCCCTAGAGAAAAAAAATGATAAAATTAATAAATATTTTAAAAAATCAAAGGTAGTTACGGGCGTGTTGAAGACGGACAGCGTTACTAACCGCTGTTCCGAATTGATTAGTAGCGAAGCACTGATAGAGGCCCTCGTCATCGTAGATTGGACGCGTGATAGTAAGAGTCCCTTTACCCGGAACCATTATGACCCTTCCATCGTTAGCTGATGGATCATATTTCAGACTGTTCTTTTTCCAGTAATAACTGTAAGAAAAATATAAATCAAATCGTATATTACGTAATGTGTTACCAAAGTTATATTCAAACAATATTTAAGACAGATTATAGAAGCAACAAAATGCTAGTTGATACAATAATCATCGTCCTAATTAAGTGATAAGCTCTTGTTGTTAGGCTGTGATAGTATGATCTAAGATAATGCTTTAAAATAACAGAATATATAACATTTTTACCTGGTAAAGCTGCAGCTTCAAACTTATTTTATCACTTTTTTATTTTTGCATATCTAACCTGATACTACCTCAAGGTTAGAAAACGATACTTTGTTCATGGGTTTAAAATGCTATTCACACCCAAAAAAATTTCAGAGACGAAATTGCCAAATACATTTTAAATAATACGCTCTTTGTTACAATAGAAAGATTTTTCTCCGCACACGAGACCTAAACCCAGAGCCCTGTAAATTCTATATTATTTGAGCGCATGAAATACTATAAAATAATTTAGTCTTAACCCGGGGCTAGGGTCGACTTTCGGTGTTGCATCCTATCCTGCCTCAGCTTGAGGCTGTCTTCCTAATTCGATGATGGTTCAACTTAGAATCATGTGTTACAATACAACCTCCAATAAAGGGGAATTCTTATATTTTCACTTCGAGTCTATTAGCAAATAATTCATTCATTCATTCATTATTTCTTTTTTCTTCTTCTTTATTTCTTTCTATTAAATTAAGAAAAGCTCAAATGCTTCAAAATGGAATTAAAGGTTTTACAAAAATTAAAAAATGTAAGTTATTCAACCTTTTTATAATTAGATTTAATTTTATTTTGATAAATTAAGATAACAATACTCAAATCAAAACTACATTAGAAATAAAGGTTTTCAAAAATTATAAAATGTATCAAAGTCGTATTTTCATAATAAATAAAAAAAAATTCAAAGGATTAATAATATTTTCCATAAATGCAAACCTTTAAATGTTGATAAAAAAATTAAGATAAAATCTCAATTTTTAAAAAAGGAGAAGAAAAAAAAATTCTTAATTGCTTATTTTTTTTCTTCCATCTTTCTTTCCTAGCATACAATATTAACATTTGTAGATCATGGTCTAATTTAGAACTAAAAACACCAGTGTCGAACCGAACCTAGGAATAAATTTAAACGGAACCTTTTAAAGGAGCTACCTAAACCTTTAAAACTCTTATAAAAGGGTTTTAAAACAGGGTTGTGAAACCAAGGGTTCTGAAATTTAAAATTGTTTGGTTGGGCATTTTGAGATGACAGACGAAATATAGGATTTATTGGCAACCCATCGATCCCCGGGTAATATGAACCCGGAGCGGGTTCAGACCTCTATCAGAAAATTGGTTTCGATTAAGTTCCTCTTATCAAAATTTTCGCTAGATAGTTTTGAATACATAAACCCTAACACTCGGGTTTACTAACCTGGAAAATATGTTTATATAAGGTTTTTATTTTATAAATATTCAATAATGCAATTTACATGTTTTTTTTAAATATATATTTTTTTCCAATTAAAAAGCCCGATTCAAATTTAAAAAAACCTAATATCACATTCGCCAATTCGTTAATATTAAGGAAGATAAAGCTAAAAAAAAATGAAATATTCTGACTGACATCTCCGCTACTATTGTCAAAGTTAGAAAAAATCTTACACAAACTTGGCATGTAATTGAAGAGGCACTTCAAGACGAATATGTATATTGATAGACGATCAATCAAAATTATTATCCCGACACTCGAGGGCATGTTGAATAAATTGCAAATTAAAGAAAATAACAAAAGTCAAAATACATCATACAATATAAAACAAGCGCGATTAATGGGTAACCATTAATAATTCTTTTAACATTCTCTAATGGATTAATAAAAACAGCTGATATTCTTGCATATTTGGAAAAGAAATTAAAACAACCCGAGTTGTATTCTAATAGCAACAATAGCTACGTCTATGCCAACTGCACCGATTTCGAACAAGAGAGCATTATTAGGATAAATACATTTGTATCACCAAAGAGAACAAGATTGGGAATAATTGATTTTATATACAAATAAAAATTGATAAAAAAATTGTGAGGTTAATTTTAAAATCTCTAGAAGGGGAAAATGGCCTAAAGGGATAAACTTGGAAAGGGCCACTAAATGACAAAGAAGAGCTATATTACCCTGTATAAAAAATAATAATTACAGAACCTTCATTTAAAGGTTTTTAAGCCTGACCCGAACCAACCTTTTAGAAAATTTAAAAAATGTTCTAGACTGATCCCACACTCAAAAATGGCCTATATGGTAAAAAAAACGAGAAAAGCTTTAAAAACAAAGAAAAGCAATATATATAGGGCGATAAAAGATAAATAGCAAACATTCAATATTACTTAAAATTATGGCACTATATAAAATGGATAAAAAATCAGATGACCATACTTTCCCCCTCCCGCGATGAAATATTTAGAATCGGATATTTTTTAAAATCTTTCTTTAGACAAACAATTAGGATAGCTGTATCTAATGACATACATACAATACTTGCCCAGACTGATGAGTAATTCGTTTGAAGCGTCCTTGAATACAAATCAACTGGTGACATGCTATTTTGTTTTCCGATATATATATATTTTTTTAAATTGTTTATATGGGAAATCAAAATGGCGTACCGCCAGCTGATTGATACACAATTAACTGAATAAATTGTCAGTCTATATAACACTGCATTCACAGTTAACGCGAGATGGCGACGAAATATACAAAAATGAAAGTAAAATTATTATATTTCTATGATAATCTGTGAATTCGCTCTAACTGTGAACGAAGGGTAAGTATGGTTGCAACTTAGTATATATTATCAAAAAAATGAAAATTATGCGAAACAAAAAATAAACAAAACTATAAAAATAGATATAAGGTAAATTTTACGTTGGCTCTGGTTCACCTTCGGCCAGGCATTCCAACGTCACGAGTATTCGGCTGTCGTATATCAATTCGTAAGGTGGTTGTCTAGTGAAGGTCGGCGGGGATGTGACTTGAAGAAAAAAAAGATAATAAATATTTTATTATATAAAATAAAATTTCCATTCTTCTATATTAAAAATTATTATCCGTCGAATTTATAGTTGATAATTTCGCCTAAATATGAGCGCGGACGCCTTACAGAAAATTGATCAAGCGTTGGCTCGTTTTGAGCCGATTTTTAAAAACGGCTAACTCAATATTTCGTCCAGAAAAATATTATGCAGGCCTTAAGATTTTGCTCATAGAAGGAACAAAGGTATAGGCATATATTATCGAAATCTCGAGACTTAGCCAATATTTTTCTTGCTAAAATATTGAGTTAGCCGTTTTAAAAAATCGGCTCAAAATGAGCCGTTTAACAACACTAGTTGAAGGGTGCGCGTTAACTTATTTCTGCTTTCCTCGGAGTTGAGCGCTATTTTCATAATATAAAAAAAATGGAGGCTGAAGTGCAACTATAGTGTAAACGGCTAATTTTCAGTATTGTTCGATCAAATCTTATAGCGTAAAAAAGGAAGAATTGTATTTGGATGAACAAGAGCCATATGAAGAAAAATCACATATCATTAACAAAAATACAATGATTCTGGAAACTTAATCAGCATGTTCCAAACTGACCCGATATTTTTACAAAAAGGTTTACCCGGCTTATGGGGAATCATAAATTTTCTCAATTTAAAAAAGTTTTCGAAATTCGGGTTCGGTTTGACCAGTAAAAAAAAATTTTTTCACCCATGGCTACCGGGCTGCGCAAATCTCTACTCCTTGTTAAGAAACTCAAATCGATATATTTTTATTTTAGTCAATTTTATTCTTTAAACAGCTAGACAGACTCAAAGCAAGGAAAAATTTGTGTATTACTAAAAATATTTTGAAAATTCAAATTTAAAAACATTATAAAGGTTACATTTAATAGAAAAGGATAAGATGGCCCAAATAGGGATTTTGATATAAATCTTGATAATTCAGAAATATCGGCTTGGTTGGCTTATGCTTAGAAAAACAAATCATATTTTTTTTTAAAAGTGATGATTTGTTTTGAAAGGGTGGAGGAGGGGAATTAGACCAAATTCATAACTTTTGAGTGATATTTTATAATAATCATCTTATAACCTTAAGAAATTTCAAAATGTGCTCCGAAAAAAATATAAACATAATTTTTATTTTCTCTTTCATCTTTTTAAAAATAAATAGACAATTAGAAAACTTCTCTAGGGATCATGATAAAAGAAATTATGGGATTTTATTATATTTTATTTTTTTTTAAATTTTTTTTTATATTTTTCAAAAATTAAAAATTTGCGGGTCGTGAATTTTAAGAAACTCTTAAGAGCACTCCAATTTTGAACATATCGATTTATGTTATCTTAAATGATCATGTTAGTGTATTCCATTAATCGATTACTTTTATTCTTTATAATTACATTTTAATTATTATATATAGATACATATATATATGAAAAATGCAGATGTTTGAAACTCCACTATATTATTTATTGTGCAAGATATATTATAAATAATTTGTAATATTTAAAAAAAAATAAAAATCGGCGAGACATTTATACGATTCTGAGATATTTCGTTATTCAAAATCAAAGGTATATATAAATATTTACATAATTTGATATTGGGCTATAGAAAAAATATATAATTGCTTTAAAAAAAAGAAATTTTGACTATTTTTTAAAAAAAAAAATATATCGATCTACTACTACACTACACGAATAATTATAATAATTTTCTATATATATAATATATTATTTTTTTTTGTTCGAATTTTTGCGGGTCGTCGTTATTTTAATAGAATTTAACTAAATATCAACCCGACAATCAATTTTAAAAAATACCTGTTTATTGTATAAGGTAACCCTATATGTTACAAGCTCGGAATAGAATGATAATAAATGATTGTATCTTTTGTAAAATGGCTGAATCGAGATTGTAGGTCAAAATAAAATTATCTAATTCCTTGAAATTTCGCTAATAGATGTTTAAATCCTTTCTGCGTATGAGCAAAATTTCCGGAATTTTCGTTTTTTGCCTAAAATTATGAGTTCGCCGTTTCTAAATATCGCGCTTCGAGCGGTCTTAACATCACACTAATTGTATGTAGTAATAGTAGTAAATAACGAAGGTATAGGTGTGTGTTAAAAAAAACCTTATCCTGTATAATTCAAAATGTAGTGGTATTGTTAAGGTTATACAGCTCCGTTAATTGCTCCTCCGAATCATTAAAATGAGCGCATAACTTGTAAATAAATATGGGCAATTGTAACACTACACACGCGATAGCGAATATCGCCAAGCAAAAGTATTTGTCTCTCGTTTCGTACGTGCTACCTCGATTTGCGTGAAAGATATCAGGGACAGATCCATCCTTAAATGGATCGGAGCGCCGACGATAAAAATTGAGGCACAAACAATGATCAATTATTTTTAGAAAAAGCCGCTTGGTTATGTTTGGCCGAAGACGTTTTTTGGCTGATAATTGGTTCACGTCAATGTCGTCGCCTCCGCCCTTGAGAGGGAAATAATGGGAACGAGAGTACATCAGAGCATTATGATTCTCGGGTAGCGATACATAACTGGTAGGAAACGTGGGTAACGAATTAAAGAAAGGATGAGTAGGAAACTTGTCGAAAAGTTTATCCGCATTTACTTTAGCGGTGAGTGGGTGTTCCCATAAGAGGGTATTATATACGTTCTCTTTCTTTCGCGTCGTCGCTATCGCTGTATAGCTATGCTTATATTTTTTGTCTTCGTCCTTGCGGAGAATTATTTTTTTCCTGAAAATGTGGCCATTTCGATAATCGGATTTGTGATTAAATTTGACCATTATATGGAAGAGGGGGCAAAAATATTTCTCATACCATTCATCGTAAATGATAAATTCAGCATATTCTGTCGAGTCATGGTGTTATAGAAAAAGGGGATAAATAAATAAATTGATTTTTTAAAATGAATAACTTGCTCTAATTATAAATGGATATATTTTTTTTGAATAATCTTTAATGATTTATTATAGGACGATGATTTTTAAAAAAAAACAATTTTAAAATAGATTTTATTTAATTTTAGAAGAAACTGGAATGGATAAGTGATCTTTGGCTTCGAAACCAAAGCTTTAAAATCGAAGAAATTCGCGAAATATTAAAAAAAAGAAGATATTCGCATAAAATACAAAGATTTCGAAATTTATTTTTAAAAAAACAAATTTTTTTATACTTGTTGCTCGAGGGGCAAAATTATTTATTATTATTTTAAAAATATTTCTTTTTCATTTTATATCTTTTCCTTTTTTTTTACAAAAATAGTTTAAAATTAATACATATTGGCTTACCGAAGGCTGCAACGTTTTCCCTTGTCAGAAAGACAGTTAATTTCATGTAAGCATCTCATCATTTATGTGATAAAATGCATTTTAAGCAACATTGAAAGTTTTACTATGTTTATTGTTGCAATCCATTATCTTATCGATATCAGATTCAGCATTAAGATATGTATCTCTTTCAAATGATATAAAATGTAAGAGAAACGTCGAAATTCTCTTTAGAAGTGTGCGAAAGATAATCAAACAGATTGACCAGGAACCTTACCTGGTATGGTATTTGTCTACAATACATAAAGGCATGAATATGAATTATGTCAGAAAAGCCGTTATGATTGATATCACAATTTGTTTAAGATTAATATACATCATATATATTTATTTTTAAGGATGGACTAGAAAGTTGATAAAAATACCGAGTGAATAAAGTTATCGAATACAATATGAAAGTGCAACAAAAATGTAGTAAGGGCTCAGCTTAATAGAAGCAATGAAATTATAAAATAGGGTTAGCCGATTTAAATCACCCGATTTTTTTAAAAAAAATCAATGATTTATAGTGAAAGATAAGAACGTAGATAAGCAAAATAAATTAAATAACCAAATCGCCCTAGTAATCACCGCTTGTGAGACAAAAAAGTTTATTTCCTATTTCAATTTTTTGATTTAGTAGAAAAATAACTACTGATCCTAATCGCAATAGTGAAAAATTATTATATTCTAAATATGAAATGAAACTAATATCAAAAATCTACCCTTTTAAAATTTTTTTTATTTTTTGTAATAAAATAATAATCAATTAGTTTGTAAAATTAAGAAAAAACTTATATTAAAAAATCACAAATAATATCTATATTGTTGAGGTTGACATTGTTATTAGAATTTAATTGCTTAAATAAAATTAATTTTCCTGCCTTTTCTGTTCCTAACCGATTCCTAAGCTTGGAGTGAACAACTCCAAGCGATGAGAATACTCTTTCGACTGAAGCAGATGATAAAGATGCAGTAAATAGTTGTTTTATTATTTTTAGTATATTTAAATCCTTCATCAAATTTCCTTGAGCCACCCACCTTGGGTCCAATACTATATTAGTAAATGGCTTTGATTTTGCTTGAAGCCTTACCAAGATAGATAAAAATAAAAATAACAGTGTTTGAATATAGAAGCCCCTAGTGTTCCATTTCATTGGTTGCTAAATTTGAACGATATTTCGGGTTTAAAAGGTAGGATAAGAAGTGGTGTGCAGGAGTTAATAATTGTATCGATTAGCAAAGGATGAAAGTTGATTACTATTTATTTGGCGGTGAAAAACTTTTGCAAATTCTTCCAACCATTATGAGTTATAAATTGGGCTAATTCCCAAGAGGTCAGAGGTCAAGAAATAGCAATAGATAATTTTAGTTTGAAAAAATTAAATTTCATTTTGCATTTTTATTTGGATCAGAAAATTCTACAATAAATTTATTTTAGCAAATATAGATAGATTAATTTTTTTTTAAAGTAACTGTATATTATATATCATCGACTCTTTATTTGAAAGAAAAAAACAAATTAAAACATATCATTATTTGATTTTCAACAATTTCCTGACTTGTTCTCTTGAACATTAGTCCTCTACTTGCAAGATAATATTAAACTTATATTTTAAAAAAAATGCGATTTAAATCAAAAACTAGTTTTC